ACATTTGCGTGACATTTAAACCATATAAATAAGAAAAAATAGATTGGTACCGGCACTCGTTGTAAGGATAAACAAACCAAAATGGCGGACGCCGCTTCAGACGCTTTTTCTCGAGTTCCAAACTTTGGAGCGAAGACTTTAATTTGGAAACATTTTCAATTGATCTCTTGTACAATCACATCTGGGTCCTGACAGTGGCCACATTATATTGCAATACATATTGCAATACGCCAACACACAATATACGAAAATATTGGCAATACCCAACCTCAATGAGCACTGATCTACACAACAGGGATACGATGTCATGTGTCAACCAAGTCAGAGAGTCTGAGCACCCAAATCCGTTAGTCGCCTCTTACGACAAGCGTGGGTTACTGAAGATCAATTCTAACCCGTATATTCACGAGTGACTGCCGGACGAAAGAAAGTATATACGCTGATGTTTGATGGTGGCTAAACATGAAAATAACAATACGTTGATATTCATGGTCATATCGATGATACGAGAATCATAGTAATGTTTTTAGCTTGAGGATGCAGTGTCAGAGCATAAACAACGCAAAGTAGTCTCATAATAATCACTGTAGAGGGTAATATGTCCGGCTGTTGAAAGAGCCCAATAAAACATTATGTGTTTAATGAACAAAATTTCGTTGTCATATGGGGGCGGTGGGGTAGTCTAGTGGTTAAAGCGTTCGCTCGTCACGCCGAAGACCAGGGTTCGATTCCCCACATGGGTACAATGTGTGAGGCCCATTTCTGGTGTCCCCCGCCGTGTTATAGCTGGAATATTGTTAAAAGTGGCGTAAAACTGAACTCACTCACTCAGTCACCCGTTGTCATATGCTACTAAATGTTCAGCCTTAACGCTCTACTGACATTTGTAATGTTTTGGTCAGATCGTATTTCCACTTTGGTTGGATATTTGGACCCTGAACACTTTCAGCTCTTAAACTCATTCATAAAAGACCTAAACTATGTTTAGACCTTAACCGCTTCAAAGGTATTAGACAAAGAACGCTCCCAGATTTGTGTGGTATCTAACCGCGGTTTTACCGTATGAATCAGGAACCGAAATCTTACACGAATGACAGTAAATACTAGTTCACAGTTACAGCTGTAAGATGGCACGTGACACCTGGTGGGACTACATTATAACATGAATAGAATAACGATAAGGAATAGATTTATTAAAACAGAGAAAAGAAAACGGTCGTGTTATACAGGCAGCTGAAAGCTGAAAAAAGAGACGTGCATGTGAATGATTTATGTGGTTTGAATATTGATCGGGGTTTGCAAAAGCTTCCACATCGTAATCTGTGAGTTAGTGTTGGGCGATGGTGGGAGGCTGATAACGGCATACATCTCCAGCGTTCAGCTCGATCATAGTGCTTACTCAGCAGTCAGTGAGATTATATATGCAGCGTAACGACAACCTGTACTACTTATTCTGAAGCTGTTGCTGCTTTACTACTGCACTGCTACTACTACTACTACTACTACTACTACTACTACTACTACTGCTACTACTACTACTACTACTGCTGCTGCTGCTGCTGCTACTACTATTATGCTGCTGCTGCTACTACTACTGCTGCTGCTGCTGCTGCTGCTACTACTACATGCTATATTGCTGCTACTACTACTACTACTACTGCTGCTGCTGCTACTACTATTATATTGCTACTACTACTACTACTACTACTACTGCTGCTGCTGCTGCTACTACTATTATATTGCTACTACTACTACTACTACTACTGCTACTACTACTACTACTACTGCTGCTGCTGCTGCTACTACTACTGCTGCTGCTGCTGCTGCTGCTGCTGCTACTTGCTACTGCTACTACTGTTGCTGCTGCTGCTACTACTACTACTGCTCACTACTACTGTATTGCTACTACTATTACCACTACTGGTTGCTAACGCGTACTACTACTACTACTACTGTTGCTGTTAATGCTACTACCACTACTGATCATGCCAATGAATAATACTAGTATATTACTATTACTACTGCTGCTACCGCTGATCCTGCTACTACTACTGATGATGATGATGATGATGATGATGATGATGATGATGATGATGATGATGATGATGATGATGATGATGATGATAATGATGATGGTGGTGGTGGTGGTGATGATGATGATACTACTATCACAATTACTCCTACTACTGTTGCTGCTGCTGGTGCAACTAGTACTACTACTACTACTACTACTACTACTACTACTACTACTACTACTACTGAATTTCATTTCTGATTTCTCCATCTTAATCTATAAGTATAGCTGGAATACTGATTAAATCGGCGTTAAAAGCAACTTCACTCACTCCTTGACAACAACTTGTTTGGACGAATAATTTGACATGTGAACATTAGAAAACCTGTATTCCTGGAGCAGGTAAGCTACATACCTGTAAAACGTGAGAGTTGGCTACAGGTGGGAGATAGCTGAATGCAATACCTACAAGAACAGACTGCTCAGGTGACCGCATCCAACACAATCACCACAACCGATATTGCAGGCTGATTGCTCACGTCTTGTATTATTGATGGCCACGTCGACAGCTGATGCTGACACCGTCGGTAGACACACAGGCAACGATCCAGGTGTTCCAGGTGTACGTATGGGCTGTGTCGCCCTTAAAGGCGTATTACTTTGTTTCGGTATAGAGGTTTAAAGGGGGACTCGCGGGGACAAGCAGTCCCATTAATTTGAAATTAAACAAAATCAAACGCATCTGCTTAATCCAAATATTCCGCATTGAAAAGTACAGTGTAGGTCTACTCGCCGGCAAATAAGTATTAGCAGGTCCAGTAAACATGACACACACGTTTATCGTTTGTTTGTTGTTTAACGATACATTCAGCAATATTCCATGTGGCGGTAAATAATCGAGTCTGGACCAGACAATCCAGTGATCAACAGCATCAGCATCGATCTACACAACTGGGAAACAATGACATGTGACGACCACCTCCTACGACAAGCATGGGGTGCTGCACACCACTTCTAATCCGGATCTTCGTGGGTAGATACACCCATTTAAACACAACTGTTTTATTTACTAGCACAGTTATACTTACGTATTCCAATGGAGCGTGCACTTGTATACCACATGTGAGAACCTATGGAGCATAGATAGTCCGACTAACCAACATAGCGTAAATCGATGATCACGGTGTCAATCACGGGATTTTCTGATCTACTCTAGAACATTAACAGGCCATAGAGGCTAGGTTTTGGCTAATGCAAAAAGTTTGAACTGGGTTTTTTTTCGAAGCATTTGATGTACATTTCCTTTGAAATGGGAATTGGTAGACTGAAATTAGGTCCTAAAAATACGTTATCTCAACCAAATGTATTTAACTACAAAACAAATCTAAATGGAGCCCATAATAATCATTAACTTCTCGTCACAGCTGAAACAATCTAGACTTGCCAAATTATTCTAGATTTGAGTTGGACTCCTTTTTTCAATTATTTTTGGGGTCTGGGTAACAAGGGAATGTGAAAATATACACATTTCAGCGATCTTTGAGTGATCGAGTTTGGACCACACACACCAACAGTTCTTGACGAGCCGCGTCCTGTGATGTCGGGTCCAATGAAACTCAGTCGACCTTGACCACCAGTACTGATCGAGCCTGACCTCCACGTGCAGTTTAGACTCCTCCGACCAGTTGATGTATATGGAGCAGTTCTATTCTGGGATACCCGAGGGCCAAATGGAAAGTACCCCCGGGGCTAGGCTTGCTCCAAGGCTGTACTGAGTGCTAAGCCCATGCATGTACAGTTATCCTATCCTTTAAAGAGGCAAGTCTAGATAAGCGAACAGTACATATAAGGACCCCAGTCTGTTATTTATATTTTTTAGAAATAATCATTTAAACTATTAATCATTGCCTCAGGGACTTGTGGAAGTCTACCCCGGGGCCTACCATTGTAGCTAAATTTCTAAGCTGCTAATGGTATAAATACTATTGAAAAGAAACTCGCAGAAACAAAAACCTAGTACTTATCACCTAGGTAATATAGATAAATTGAGTGAAATAGTGGGCTGCCGACTGGCGAACCAATTGGCCATATGCAGTGTGGACTAGACTGCTTATAAAAACCGAACGTCATAGGCGATTGAGATAAAATATTCGTTTCCAGTTGGATACGACTGGATCATTAAAAATTTGGGCAATGTTAATATATCGATCTTTTCATACCACAGCTTACAAACCGTGTATCTGATTTTAACATAAAAGATGACATTCGTCAAAATAAACAAACCAAAGGTAAATGGTATATTCAACTGACACAACTGTTTTACAGATGGAAGTATATTGCTCACAATTGACAGAAAAGATGTGGTTCCCATCAGTCTATGGTCGAAATGGGGGAGATGAATGGGTATCAGTTCAGTTCAAAATCAGTCTAGTTGAAAATGAATATCATTTTACACTCGTATGTTTTGCCTTTCCTGATTTAAGAAATCAATTCATCGATCCTAAATAATATTTAAACCCTTCGCTGGATACAAATCTACTCTGGGCGTCTTCTAATAATAATATATTTTTAAAAACTACTTTTAAGTACAGTTATCAATTTTTATTTAACGCAATGAAATTGTTCAAGTGACGTCATCAATAATTGAACTCCTGCAATATTATTTCGCAAGGGCCTGTGACCTTTACCTTGGAATCAAGTATACAAATAGCAATACACATACGTATGCATACCCTACTTCTATATAACGAACCTTATCAGTTTCTATCAGTTAATTTAGATCTGTGAAGGAAATATTGCCCCTTGACATTGCATTTTTCTATGCAGTGCCTACGGGAAGGCTGTTGGCTTGTTTCGTAAAGATCTTTCATCTTATCTTCTGGCCGTGGGAGATCGTTGGGTCTCTTAATTTGTTTGGATGACGTGCCAAGACATGCCTTATTCATGTTTGTTTACTGTTGAATGGAAAGAGTGAGCTCCCCTGAACAGTGCCACCAAGCGGAGTCTACGTGGCCTATGGAGGCGGCCATATTTGTCAACTTGGATCGACAAAATTAGCTAAGAAAATCTGTATATATCGCCATTGCCTTTTGTCATCTGCTCCCCAAAACATTTTCAGCATGTTGTTTAAACCTTTGCAATTCGTCACACTAGTGTTAGCTGCAATATGTCAAGTTGGATGCGACGAACACGACCATACAGTAAGTAAACCTAGTCGGTTGCCGGTGATATACGTTTGTGTGATACATGGCATTTTATGCAGTATTGCGTCGTTCCGATGAGTTTTGCAGGGTTGTTGCTATTCGATTTGTAGTGCAAATAAAGACCTAATATCATTTTGATCATCAAGTGAGCTGACAAATAATTAGTTTCATGTGGACGAATGCTGTTGTATTTTTGGTTGTCAACATTGACGATTCGTCCTGACATCCGCCTAATGTGAAACGTCATCGGAAGAAAATACCCGTTTACGAAAAATCCAAATGTTGTCATAAGCTTTGCGTTGATGTTTCATCTAGTCATTTTGTACATGTTCTTCATTTTGTATTGATGGCGAGGCTGAAGGAATATTCAATGTCTTCACTTTGGAATCTTGCGTCGTGGACATGCAGTTGCTATGATTACGAAGCCCATGATTATAAACTGGAGTCTCACATCCTGCTCCCAATCATTCCTGTCTTGATTGTTTTAATCCAAATGAAATGACCTTACACTGATTATTTGCTGTGCGTTTGTGTATTCATTACGGTATAGGATTTATTGGGCAGATGCTTATCACTTATGAATCCCAGTAGTCACTATGTATGCAATGGCTTCTAACTTCAGTGCATATCTTCCATGATCTAGTTATGCATTTCAAGATATGCAAACACGTATCTACCTGTATACCCATTTTCATGTTAAATACATTACTGTTTTAATGTGCATGGGAGAGGGGACAAAGACAGGATTACCGAAAATGCAAATGATATATGTTAGAATTTTCTGAAATTGATATGTTTATTGTTGTCGGTTTCATTTAAGTCACTGGAATAGTTTGCTTGTCATTTTTTATCATTATTGTAGTAAAATGTATGCAGTTGTTCACATATACCATGTATTTATCTATGGTGTGTACTTCAACTGTCAAACTGGCAGGCCCAAGGTGAAAAATTTGTTATGCAGAGGCTCTGAACAATGTTGGTTGTTTAACGCCGCACTCAGCAATATTCCAGCTATATGGCTGCAGTGTGTATATAATCGAATCTGAACCAGACAATCCAGTGATCAACGTCATGAGCATCGATCTGTGCAACTGGGATACAATGACATGTGTCAACCAAGTCTGCGATCCTGACCACTTGATCCTGTTAGTCACCTCTTTTGACAAGCATGGATTGCTGAAGACCAATTCTAACCCGGATGTTCACAGGTCTCTGAACAATGTAACTTAGGACCAGTAGGTTATAAGTTTGACTCTCAGCTTTACCTTAATCCTGATTATCCTGAGTAAAGGATTAACCGATAACGTGTTGATTGATCAATTACTCTTATCTTTCTTCAAAGGATTAACTGCCAATATGTTGATTGACTGTTCATTATAGTCAAATTAAATTATTTAAAGAAAGGTGAAAATCATATAAATTGTTGTCAGGTGTGCTATCTTTGGTGACCAATGAGACTATAAACTTTGTGAAAAACCTGAAACAACATGCACTAGGTTGCACTTAGGGCGTGTGTGTTAAATACAATCAACTAGATATTACAGGATATTACAGCCTTTTCATAAATTCACTAAAACAGATAATAATAAATTAATTATGCTGGGATTATGAGGCAAAAATATAAAGATGTATATTTTTCCACTGGCAGATGAAGTTAAACTTCAACAGGTTTTGATTTGTTATCATAATAATCAAGATGGAAATATAAATGAGAAAAAAGACATTATTTTCCAATGAATTCCCAGACAAAACTGTATTTCATCTTTGTTGATCAATGTAGGGATACGCCCTTCTACTGCCATTTGCGCTTGCAGTTGGCCCAATCAAGAATTCTGGGATATCATCCGGGTACAAAACTAACAGAAGCAACAATCAATCCCGGGGAATTGCTCTAGATCAGTGTCCCTTTCATCCTCATTGGACATATCGCAGACAAAATACCCATCCTGGCAGGATTATCTCCACCTCTCTGCTTACGTATGTCAAAAGCTAAGAAATGTTAATGTTGTGTTCAACATTACTAACTTAAATGGATCATCAATACACAGCTAATGTCTCTCCATGTTGGTTCTATTTGGGCCTAAGAAATAGAATGTTGTGGTTCCGATTACCCGACAGACCCTTGAATTCTGGTGCCCAGCGGTATGAATTAAATAAGTTTTCAGATACCATTGTTTTTTCCCGGCACCGTCGGGCATCGACCATTCTGATAGAGAAAGTCGTCATGATGGCCACAAGCTTTATTGAATAAACAATTACACATTGATTAATGTGTTATTAGTTCATAATTTACACTGTAAAAAAAACAACAAAAACACACACACACACACACTAAATTAGTAGATAAATTATTTCCTTTGAATTTAGAAAAGTTATCAACCCGTTAAATGCAAGTTGAAGATTTTATTACCCGTTGTGTTTTAGTAGCAATGGATTACTCAGTGAAGACAGCCTGTTTCATGAGACAGTAAGAAATTGAAGCTCCTGTCTGACTTGGTATACTGATTCCAAGCCGACCACTCCTCGTTTCATTCCCCTAAATCAAAGACCAGCCAGGGTATCTTGCAATACCATCTATTAACATCCTTTGGTACAACACTGCCTTATGGATGGTGTGTCCACAATATCACCCTTGGTGTACATGCTGAGTGCTGATATATTTCCTTATTATTTTCAGTATAGTGAGGCTGATGAGGTTGTGTTATGGATGAACACTGTGGGTCCCTATCACAATCGCCAGGAGACGTACGAGTACTACTCTCTCCCATTTTGCCGTGGACCTAAGGAGAGTATTAGTCATTACCATGAAACACTTGGGGAGGCCTTGCTTGGAGTTGAGCTGGAATTTAGTGGGGTTGACATTGACTTCACGGGTAGGTGTTGTATTCATCATACTGTGTGTGTTTGATACATGTTGCAACATACATTTTTTTGATGTGCTGTAATTTTATTTTCTAAGCTGTTTGCCTTCATTAAGCTTGCCATATGCTTTGAAACTTACCAAACTTATCTTAGAATTCACAGCTTGCAATTTTGTACATGCATCTCTCGTGTGATGCTCGGTTTTTTAACCCTGATTTTGGAATCTCTGAATTTTGGAGTGATTTGCTTCAAGTTACTTTGAGCAGGGAAAACCTCCCCTATATATAAAAGTAATAATATCCTATTACATAACTCTGACATAATGATTGATGTGATGAAAATCTTTCTTACTACAGCTGATGTGACCAAGACCAAATACTGTTCAGTGGACTTGTCCGAGGAGAAGTATCAAGCCTTCAGCTATGCTGTGAAGAATCATTACTGGTACCAGATGTACATAGATGATCTTCCTATATGGGGTAAGAACTGTTCAGACTAACACTTGTAATTGGTCAAGAATAAGATATATTGGATATACTGTGTATGACAGTAGATTACCTGGATTTTTAGGACCAGGAATTTTTGTTTTGTATTAGTTGGCCTGTGATAATGAGAATATTTATAACACACCTTTTCCAGGCTAGATATTCTGCTCAAAGTGAACAATCTGATTATTACCCTGGATAATCCAAGCTCTCACAGCTTATTTCACCAGGTACCCATTCTCTGCTTGGTGAACAGAGGCAAGTTTGAACAAACTCACTTGCCTAATGTGAGACCACATGTATCACATGCTTTGTTGTTGGGCAGGACTGAAGTCCTAGAAACTCGCACACAGTTACCCACCCAAGCCCTCTCCACCCCCAACCTTGCTTAACTGTAACTGATTTGTGACCTGGGCTCTATGCACAGGACCTCACACACCTCCTGTGTGACATATGGAGCTGAGAAAAAATCAGTACTTTCAGCATTGATTCACCTCACATTTTGGTGGTAACACTCGGATGAATCTATTATGAATCTTGCAAACTCTTCACTTCCAACCTGCTCCTGTAAGATCTTCTTAGGTGTTAAATTTCTATCAATATGCAGGTTTTCAAATCAGTTCATTTTCTAGGATACTGACTGTAATGTATATTAAAAGTGGTCTATTGGTAGATTATTTCATTTGGTAGAGATATACACAAATGTTAAAGAACAAATAAACTTTGGGCTGTTTTGTACTCTTTTAACTATTACATATGAAAGATTTGTGGTTAGTCTTATGCGGAACACCAAATTCATTCTTAGAAAACTTGTGGTTAATTAGTACCGAGTGATTAAAAGTTGCCTGCTTCACTTTCGCCCGTCAACGAAACCACAGACAGGTCTGAACTCTGTCGCCAGAGCACTGCAGTGACGTCATATGAGGAAGGATTTTCAGTTAGTTATATAAAAAGTGTGTAGCAAGCTCGTCATTTTGATTATTTACGACATCAACGAAGACATGCCGAATCATTGCGTTGTCGTCAAATTGCTCCTAGGGGTCGGGCGATGGTGTTGCCATGCACAGATTTCCACAGGAGCCCGCAGTTTGTGCTAAATGGGTTATGTTTGTGAGTGCAAAGCGAGCGTTGTGGAAGCCTGAAACTCTATCTTACTTGTGTTCAGGTCGCTTCACGGAAGTTAAAGAATCAAAACTACTTACTAGTTGTAGTAAAATATGTATATGATTGATGGCCATAAAGATTTTCCATGACACAACTTGTAACATAACGATTTCTTCCTCGGAAGCGAGGTTGTGGTTGAAGTGACAATAATACTGTAAGCAAAGTATTTAGTATTATATTGACACCCATCTCGCTTCCACAAGAGAAATTGCTATATTAAAAGCTATGTCATGCAAAATCCTATTGGCCATCAATCAAATACATATTTTACTAACAGTAGAAAGTAGTTTTGACTTTGTAACTCGGTGAAAACAAACCTAAATATCATTTATCCTCAGACTGGCGGATGTTCGCGACACAGCGCCGCCATTTTGAAAATCGTAAAGTCACGGCCTAAAGTCTGTTAGAATTAATGAGATTATGGTTTGTTTTCATCAAGTTAGAAAATCAAAACTACTTTCTACTCGTAGTTAAATATGTATTTGAATCATGACCAAAAGGATTTTGCATGACACAACTTATAACAACGATTTCTTCCACGAAAGCGAGGTGGGGGTCGAAGTCACAATACTGCACGATAAATTTCTTGCTACATTCACATGGTTAACGTCACCACCAGTATGTAGATACTAGTCAATGTACGTCTTTATATTTGGTCTTATAATCCTAATTAGTTTATTATCATACTTGTATGCATTTTGAAACTAAATTAAGAGCAGAAGATCTGCTGATACTTATAGTGAATTTATAACATGACTGTAATATGACAGTGACATTTTATAGTTTGCCAATGTGAATCATAATTCGCACACACATCATAGTGTATGTTGTCTGTCTCATTACACTTCACGGCGAAAACAGTGATTCTGTTGAATGCTACGACAAATGAATAAAAACAAAATGCAAATATTAAAATTAAAATAGATTAAAGTTATAGGAACAATGTCAGGCTATTACCTTGTTTGAGGAATGTATCCATCAATATCCACAAAAATGAGTGATATGCCATTCATCTACAGCTGTTCCAAGTGATGTGTCTTTTAACAGTCTAATATACGAAAATGTGACATATCGTTTCAGATATTTCACATGTGTATAGTCTCATTGGTCATCCAAGATAGCACACATGGGAACTAATTGCATAATGTCCGCCTGTCTTTAAAAAAAGTAATTTAGTTAGCCAATAATGAACAATCAATCAGTGTATTGGCGGTTAATCCTTTGAAAGAAGGACGTTTTTTCGGAGACACAGACACGACAGTGTATTCAGTATAGATTAGTAAATCTACATACATACACACTACCTTTTGACAAATCTGCTGTGCAAGATAAAAGTAATTAATCAATCGGCGTGTTATCGGTTAATCCTTTGATCAATGTTTATAATGTTGAGTATTTACTCCACAAGAAATGCCAAATGGGAACCTTTGTCGGGTATTAAAATGGACTCTGTGCGTCCGTCCGTCCGTCCATGCACATTTGTCTTTTCCGGAGCAGAACTCTACACCTGTTCAATATTTCTTCACCAAACTTGGCACATGGATAGATCTGGTGGTGCACTGGTGCCTTTTGGTAGTTTTGGAATTCTGAATAAAATATTTTGGCATTTCCATGGCAAAAGGTTCGACTTAGACTGAAATTAGTGGTTGTGCTCTTTTTCGGAGCAGAACTCTAAAACTGTTCAATATTTCTTCACCAAACTTGGCACATAGATAGATCTGGTGGTGTACTGGTGCCTTTTGGTAGTTTTGGAATTCTGAATAAAATATTTTTGGCGTTTCCATGGCAACAAGTTCGACTTAGACTGAACTTAGTGGTAGTGCTCTTTTCCGGAGCAGAACTCTAAAACCGTTCACTATTTCTTCACCAAACTTGGCACATATATAGATCTGGTGGCGTACTGGGGCCTTTTGGTAGTTTTGGATTTCTGAATAAAATATATATAGTTGTAACTCAGAAACTAGGCAAAGCAGGAGACAAAATCAAATGACAGTAGATTGTGAGAACATATAGCTTTAATTTTTCATAACAGTTGTCACGATTTCAGTTTTATACTAACCTGTAAACAAGATAATTGACCCCCTGAAATGTACATGAATTCTGCATCAGCCCTCATATCTATTCCTCATATGACGTCACAGAGACGCGCCGCTCTGATTGCTTGAGATTTCGTTCGCGGGTGAGAATTGTGCACTGTTGTCAAAAAGGTCGATTTGAGTTACTTAAAGATTGAAATGAGTAGTTTTAATGACGGGGTTTCATTTATAATGATGCCAATTAGTGATTTATGTATTTGTACCCCTTAGAGTATATGTGATCTTCAAAGAAAAGCTGAAAAAATCCTAGAAATGTCTTTTCATTAGTATCCTGGATTGAAGCAACAAAGTAAGCTCTAAATGTTTGGCATCACAGTGATATCTGGTTATTTGTATTTACCGGAAACATTCCAAGGTTTTGTTGAGCATTGTTAAGATGCAGACTTCAATAGGTCGTTTCTGAAGTTGTTACACCAACAGCTCCCTGAGATTCTGTCAGGGAATAAATAATTAATGGCATCAAAACACTTGAATTGTAAGCTTAACTGAAATAAAACACCAGCCACCTGTCATGATGTATTATTATTTGAACCCTGATTTCTGAATATCAGTGATTTCAAGTTAATTTTTTTCTGAGCAGGAGCTGGTGGTCATATTTTTGTGAATATAAAGATAACGTCTGGTTGCTTCTTTATTAGACATCGGATCTGTAGTTTAGTTTCCAAAAACTTTCAGCAGTTGTGTACTACTCAGGAAAAGGAGGTGGCACAAAGCAGATAGCCTGATTCAGCTGATCTAATGATAATTACTAGGGCTGGCTATAGATATAGAGATTGATTAATGTGAACCGAAATCAATATATTTCTTGTAACAGGTGAACTATGACACATATATGTATGGATTACTGACAAGAGCAACATTCTTAACATAATTTAAAAGCAGTCCGGAAGAGACACAACATTTTGTGTAGAGTGTAAATTGAAGCGTTATTTCATCAAAATAGTGTGCAAGATATCAGTTACACAATTTTCATTTACATAATCATCAACAATACTTTCTATTGATGATATTTGGGAATTCTCATTCCTTCTAGCCAGCCCTAATAATTACTAATGTTAACAGTTTGATTCTGTCAACAGGTATTGTTGGTGAGATCGAGGAGAGTGGAGATGGTCTGTATATCTGGACACACAAGAAGTTTGACATCGGTTACAACACGAAACAAATTGTTGATGTCAATCTTACTAGTGAAGCTAAGGTTAAGCTTGCTCCCAACAAGAAGATTTCATTCACATATGAGGTAAGTAGATGTTTAGGAAAGCTTTGTATAAAAGTTAGACACACATACAACTACTTCTTGTAAAGTGGGTGTAGATCAGAACGTCATACTCAATATCTGTGTTTTGTGTTATCTTATGTGTTAGCCTGACAACATGGCTGTGATTCTCAAATCAATTATATGCTTGTCACGACTGGATTATGTACAGGATGTTGCTTGAACATTTTGGAATTTCTAATACATATGATTGATAGTGTAATAACTTGAGTTATCTTGTTATTTACTATTTGCTACTGTCAACTGTACTTTCATTTCAAGTTTTCATCTGTACAATTAGTAACACCATACAGCATTTTAGGCTACAGGTCTTGAAGTCTAAACTGGAATGTAATGATTAACCCCTACATGTAACATATTTGTAACAAGGTTTGTTTGGTTATATAGGTGAAATGGCATACATCAAAGGTGAAGTTTGAGGACAGATTCGACAAGTACCTTGACCCCAACTTCTTCCAACACAGAGTAAGTTTTATCCATCATCTCTCACTGTGTGGTTGATCTTGCTGGTCAAAGATATTCATATCAGACAAAGCTTCAGTACGAAGTTAAATAGCAAGTTCCATCTGTTGTGTGGTTAAGTACTTAAAATGATAACTTTCACATTTAGGAGAACTTCAGGATTTTTTCGTCTAGATTATCCAACCAGTGTGTGTGAAGGAACCTGCGCCAACAGAATCTCTGTTTTGTGGCTTTTTGATGCTATTTTCCACTGCTTTGTCTGGTCTCAATCACTTCCAGGCCTCCACTATACTGTTTCATATTGCCTTCTATGGCAGTGCTCTTTATGACTAAGGATGGTGTCATAGTACAGTGGTTAAATTATTGGGTTGTTGTTGATGACCCAGGTTTGATTCCCCACTATGTCTAAAGCCATTATTGGTGCCCACTGATGTTCGAGGAATACTGCCTAAAGAATGGTGTACACATACAACTCTGTGTATTTCAGATCCACTGGTTCAGCATCTTCAACTCCTTCATGATGGTCATCTTCTTGGTGGGGTTGGTCAGCATGATCCTGATGAGGACACTGCGCAAGGACTACGCCAGATACAGCAAGGAGGAGGACCTAGATGATATGGTATGTCCCATGTATAATATGTATGTTCTTACACTATAGTATTGCTGGATTATTGCTATAAGCGGCATAAAAACCTTATTCATTAAGGTTTGTCAGGTGCTTACCAGTAGTTGTAGGTTTCACCTTAGTGGTAATGTCTAACGCCTGCAGCACTTCAGGCCTTCGTCCGTTAATACTGATACACCTTGAACAAGTGTAATTAGATATAATTATTATTCACTTACTCACACATGTCAATTTGATCTTACAATGGATGGAAAAGAGTGGTTTGACTACAAAACTTGGACAAGATTGACAGTTCTGGTGGGTTGATGACACTATTAATGATGGATTTGCTGCAGCATAGTTAAAAACTGCTGTTCATGCATTGGTGTATATCAAACATTACATACAGTATTGAAACATTACATACAGTATTGAAATAATGATTTGTTAACACCAACCTTTGAGATTAAATACCTATGTTCTGAGTGTGAAATTAGAGTGCTACATACAATTCTGCATATTAAATCCCTGTTATGATGTAATACATTTGAACCCTGATTTCTGACTGTCGGTGACTTCAAATCTTATCTTGCTGAACAGGGATATATGGATACTTGACATGATGTTTGGGGATTGATTCCCGGTGAAGGGCAATAAATTCTGTTCAGTTGTGTGTGAGAAATATGGAACTGTTTTGATCTTGTGAATAACTAGTTCAGAAAGAGTAAGGAAAAAAATAGAGTTGCCCTTCTTATTTTGAGTTTACACAATGCCTTGGTGGTTATGTTTAGAAACCTATTTTGGTAAGTTTAATGTGTTTTTCTTTATAACATGTAAAGAATGTTGAACCTCCTTTGTAATTGACATGCAAATGCTCCAATTATCCCTGTCAACAATGCTCTTTTACAAAATCTGTAAACATTAAAAGGCCAAAACCAACAAGGACTTCCCCCATTTTCTGGAGATAACAATTGTTTTCCTTCAGCATGAAATTGTGTGACTCTTTCGGCCGACATTAGATAATGCTTTGGCATCCTGGTTTTTCAAAGATAGGAATCCTGAGATGCACCTTGACACAGAACCTTAATGTTCATGAATATGTCTGACATTTATGTGATGCTTATAATATCCTCCCTGTGCGAGGATGTGCCTGTACCAACATGTTTTGGTGGTAAGACCAGCTTCATTGATCAGCTGGTCAGATTTCGTGACATGGTTACTTTTCAAATCCCTGTTATGATGTAATACATTTGAACCCTGATTTCTGACTGTCGGTGACTTCAAATCTTACCTTGCTGAACAGGATTGGATATTTATACAGTGATGTTACATAGTTAATTTTTTTAAACATATAATTTCAAATGTGGGGCTTAGAAGTGTGATGTTTGCTAAGATCATGCTAGGAAATAGTTTATTTGGGAAAGCTATGTTTATGATAATTCTCTAAATACCATTGCTGCTATTTGTCCCAAGGCCATCAGTCCAGGTTAGTTTATCTAATCGTAAATTGTGCCAGAAGCACTCCAGGCTTGTTAGGAGATCTCTTTAATGTTATCAGTATTGAGGTTAGTAAATGTTAGTAACTCTCAACTGCTGCTGAGAGGGTACAGGTGACGAGGTGTGGCATTTCTCAACCCCGTTTTTTAGCTCTTACAAAATTATGTGAAATAGACATTAGAATTTTGTAAAATCAAAGTGTTACTTTTACAAACTAATTATTACAGTATTTGGGGATAGAAAGAAAGGAGTAAATTTACCTATGTTGTGGTAGTAACCAAAGTTATATCCATATCATCAGTGTAGGAAAGATGTAGAAAAAGTTATATCAGGTCATATCAGTCCTGCCAAAATCTAGCCTGTCCTCCAAATATAAGTAAAACACCTTGAATCAGGTTATAATCATTATGTCAATGGTTTGCTAAAATTCAAACAAATTTAACCCGTCCTCCACAAAATGTCTCGGACTTTGTTTACACTGACTGAATCAACATTTGACATAAATGCCTAAACATTTGACATAAAATGTGTGTCAGTAAGATCAGGGAGCTGGGCAGGAAGTTTTTACTTCTGGTTGTTTGCTCTAAAAATAAGACCTATAAAATCTGATTAGTTTGAGGATGTATTTTTGGAGGAAAACAACAATTTCAGCAGAGAGTTAGTGCCCCTTTGTGAATTGTACATCAAAATATGAAATCCCTGTTATGATGTAATACATTTGAACCCTGATTTCTGACTGTCGGTGACTTCAAATCTTATCTTGCTGAACAGGGATATATGGATACTTGACATGATGTTATGGGATTGATTCCCGGTGAAGAGCAATAAATTCTGTTCAGTTGTGTGTGAGAAATAAGGATTGTTTGATCTTGTGAATAATCGGTTCGGAAAGAGTAAGGGAAAAAAATATATAGCATTGCCCTTCTTATTTAGAGTTTACACAATGCCTTGGTGTTTAATGTTCACCAACCTATTTTGGTCAGTTTAAGGTGTGGTTTTTTTTCAAAAGTAAAGAATGTTGAGCCTCATTTGTAAATTGCCTGGCAAATGCTCATATTATCCCTGTCAACAATGTTTTTTACAAAATCTGTGAATAAAAAAAGGTCAAACAAACAAGGAATTCCCCCTTTGTTAGGATAACAATTGTTTTCCTTCAGCATCAAATTGTGTGACACTTTCAGCCCACATTAGATAATGGTTTGGCATCCTGGTTTTTCAAAGCTAGGGTTCCTTAGACGCACCTGGACACACCTGTTCATGATTATGTCTGACATTTATATGATGCCTATAATATCCTCCCTGTGCCAGAATGTGTCTTCACCAACATGTTTGGGTTGTAAGACTAACTTCATCAATCAGCTGGTCAAACTTTGTGCAGGGACTTACTGGATGCGAATTCCTGCATCCTGCACACATAAAAATTGACAATGGATGCAATGAAATTTAATAGTGCGTCTACATGGATGCAGAAAAAGTCCAAATACTTTTGTTTAAATTTCAGTCAAGTGACAATAAGTTATCACCGAGTCTGCTACTAGCCGGGTTATGGTATCATTTGCAATTTAATTACTGTAACAATGTGATGATCATGATGCACAATACAATATCAGTAACTGAATTGCAACAATGTTACAACATAGTATTAATAGTAATATTAAAGTGTTGGGGACCCCCATTTTGTAGTCAAGGACCCCTGAAAATTAAGAGTGTGAGTCCCAGGGACCGTCAAATACAGGACTGAAGGAAAATCCCTGTTTGTGGCATAGTTAGTTACCCTGACCATGGTGACAGTATCAATGCTTATCACATCAATCACTGGATTGATTGGTTCCCACGTAATTTTCAGGCTGTTAGTTAGAACGTTACGAAATGCAGTATTTTAGAACATAGTGCATACACAGCCTCCACATGATTCAATTACGATTTGATAATTGGACACCGTTCCATGGAATATGTATTTTGTCAGCCCTTTGAGACAGATCTGTTTTTCTCACAATGGGTCATGAGTCATAAGATTTTCTGTAAGATTTTCAGTTCTGCTTTCCAAATCCCTGTTATGATGTAATACATTTGAACCCTGATTTCTGACTGTCAGTGACCTCAAATCTTATCTTGCTGAACAGGATTGGATGTTTACATTTTTCTAAACATCATTTCAAATGTCTGGGGTTAAACATTTTGTTAATCATCATGCTAGTAAATAGTTTATTTTGGAAAACTATGTTTTGATAATTATCCCCTGCCGCACGTTTAGCGCGAAGAGTGGAATATAGTATTAGGTTCCGTCTGTCCGTCCGTGCTGAGGACGAATTGGAATATCTTAAGAACCGCTGACTAGATTCTTTTCGTACTTGGTACCTATGTTCATCACAGTATGCGAAAGGTTCCAGTCAGGTTTGGTGACCTTGACCTTCATTTCAGTGTCACAAGGGACAACGGTTTACCTTTGTCAGCGAGATATCTTAAGAACCGTTCATTGGATTTTCTTCATATTTGACACCAGGCTTTATCTAGGGAAGCCACAGGGTCCAGTCGATTTTGGTGACCTTGACATAATTTTCAAGGTCGCAGTGACCCTTTGAAGAATTCAGCATCTTCACCTACATGTTAAGCTTGTCAGTGAGATATCTCAAGAACCATTCACTGGATTTTCTTCATAGACTTTCAAGACTTCTCTTGAATGATTTTTGATAAGCAATTTCTTTATTACTATTTTTTTTGCATATTTCATACACCATCAGAGCTCCAGATAAGATTTAGCTCATGTGGGTACTGTACCCACTGTATTTTTGGGAGTCGATATTATGAATGTTGAGTGGGTATTTCATTTTCCATTACCCACTTCTTTCAAATATGTGCGCATTTCAGTCATTTTACTCATCTAAGTTAAGTATTATGTCATTGAGTAAGTTTACTAAACAGGTATGTTCTGCCTTATGTCATACCTAATCAAAACCAACTTAGATATATAATGGAAATGATTTCATAAAAAATCACTCATCCTATACTGACAGTACAACACTAGTCCTATACTAACAGTACAACATGATAGCAATCGATGTCTTTTAAACTTTTTGCGTATCTAACATTTTAAATGCGTAATTGGTACGCAACAATTATTTTTCAATGCTTAATTGGAAATTTTCTATGCGTATTTTACCCGGATACGCAGCTTATCTGGGCCTCTGCACCATGTCAAGGTCAAAGTGAGTCTTGAAAATATTTGTGTGTTTGAACAACTACAGAACAAGATAGCAAGAGGTTGACTGGTCATGTTTTTGTTGACATTGAACTTCATCTTAAACTATGACCTTCACTTTTATTACTTTTTAAGTTTGATTTCATAATTTGCGGCTGGGGATTATCACCTTTGTGACAACTGCTTGTTCTAAATACATATTACATTTGCGCCAGCATCTTCTGTATGGAAACAGGAAGCTACGCATGGAATTCTGTACTTCTGGTTGTTAGCTCTAAAAACAAATGTGAAATCCAGTTTGTTTCAGGATGTATATAGGGATGAAAACGGTAATTCCATCAGATGGTTAGTGCCCTTCTGTGAATTGTACATCAAACTGTGAAATCCCTGTTATGATGTAATACATTTGAACCCTGATTTCTGACTGTCAGTGATTTCAAATCTTATCTTGCTGAACAGGGTTAGATAAGTTCTCGGATAAAATAACATTTATTGATATTCATACTAATTATTGCTGCCCTGCATAGCTCGTTCCAGAGAAATAATGAATGTCCTTTTTCTGATTTAGCATCTGAAGCAAAAACATTTTCTTGTATGTCTGAGCAAATGAAAACATGTTCAAGTCCATTCTGTTGTTGTTAACAGGAAAAGGACCTTGGTGATGAGTATGGCTGGAAGCAGGTTCATGGTGATGTATTCCGACCAGCGTCACACCCCATGATGTTCTCTGCCCTCATTGGCACTGGCTACCACATCGGCATGGTCTCCATCTGCGTCATCACATTCGCCATCGTCGGAGAACTCTACACCGAGTAAGTGCTAGCAATCAAGTACACACATGAAACACTCAACAAAAGTAGTATATTACATTTACAGGTAATTAGTTACCTGAACAACTTCACTTTTGACCACTGAAGATCCAGGTTAGAATTCACCTTCGGCAACCTATGTTTGCAACCTGTAAGAGGCAACTAAAGGTATCTGGTGTTGAAGCTTGCTGATTTGGTTGACACATGACATTGTATTTCAGTTGTGTATATTGATGCTCATGATGTTGATCACTTGGTTTTCTGGGCCTAGATTACAGACCGTTTCTAAGCTCTCTTAGCGCTAAGATAGTCGTAAGTTAATGTTAATGAATGGCACTTACGACTATCTTAGCGCTAAGAGAGCTTCGAAAATCTAGGCCCTGGTCAGGACTTGATTGATTACAGACCGCCACCATACAGGGATAAACCTGGCTCAGAAAAGATATGACATAAAATCTCACATGGGACCAAAAACATGAGATTTTTCAAATCTTATGAGATTTAACTGTTCATGATCGTTCACAAGAAAAGGAATAAACGACAAATAGGACATTGTCATATGTATTTAACTCTTTCAACACCAGTCAACCAGAGGCATTTACTACCATGACACCTTGTTCCCAGAGACTCTGAGGTCATAGATGAAGCCTATGTTTATCAAGGAAAATATCAGCTTGCAAAACATTATTGCTACTACATATCATTCACCATTTGAAAGGTCTAATCCTACTGTTTATAAATATGAAATTTATTTTTAATCATATTATTCAAATAATACAACTTCAACGTAAATAAGTTAATATTTAATGAAAATGCAAGCTTACACATTCATAATGTCCAGTTAAACCACGAAGGGAGCAAAAAATGCGGCGATTTTTTTCCATTTGTAACATGTCATAATATCCCCTTACCTTTTTCTTTTATATTTTCATTTTTACGTAATGGGAAAATTATTATAAACAGATTTCTGAAATAATATGCATGGTCGTCTGTTTCCCGATACCAGTGGCTTTCCGCTCGGTAACGTGATACAACAGTGGGAAATACCTCCGTTTTGGAAGCTGCGTAAGAATAACATGTGAGGCAATTCGTTTGATGGCAGGTATCGGTCGAAAGCTCTGAACTTCAACAATATCACTGCACCCTTGCCAAGAATATTTTCGCAGTTGTAAGAAGCAATTTTATTGGCAAACTCTGTACAGCGTCGCACAGTGCATAAACAACACAGTACTGCGAGGTTCAGAGTTTACCATACTCCTTGCAGCGCAGCTCGTTTTGTACAGCACTGTGTAGCGATGTTCGAAGTTCCATACCAGAAGTTATGTTTCGAAGATTACAAATAGGAATATCTTTGACAGAACAAAATAACGACAAAGCCTTTCTCAGTAAAATAGATTTAAACACTTTATTTTTTCTAATCGTACAGGTGAGCAGGATGCGATTTTAAATCGCGGCAGATAAATTTAAGTGCGATTTTATAGCAATTGATGCGAGAAAATCGCGATATCGCGGCCCAAGTCAATCCCTGCCATGTAACTGGAATATCGCCGAGTGTGGCATTAAACAACAAACACACAAACAAATTACTTGAAAAGTAGTCCGAAATGTCAGTTTCATTTGACAAGACAATTTAGAGTTAAACAAACACTGTAGGATCATCAGTCCCACAGTTGATTTAAACTGAGTGGTGTAAGGTACATATCTCACTGAAGAATGTGTTGTTTCAGGAGGGGGTCACTGCTCAGCACTGCCATCTTTGTGTATGCTGCTACCGCCCCTGTCAACGGCTACAGTGGAGGTGGCCTCTATGCCAGGATGGGAGGTGAGTCCACTTGCTCATGTCTTCTTGTGTCATACAAAGAATTCATAATGAACAGACTGTTTCCATGAGAGAAAGGATTCTTCTTTTTCGAACAATATCATGAATAATGATACAAGTAGAATAAAGAAACAATTGCCTGTTTAAAGAATGCATGTGCTGACAATTTAGATATATTGATAGTTTTTCCATTTCAATTCATTTTATGATATGTTCTGTAGATTGCAGATACCAGTAACTAAGTACCAGTGATATTTAGTGTGTAATGACTTGTGTATCAGGTAAAGTGTGGATCAAGCAGATGCTTATGAGTGCCTTCCTGCTTCCCTCGCTGGTGTGTGGGATGGCATTCTTCATCAACTTCATCGCTATCTACTATCACGCTTCCAGAGCCATCCCCTTTGGCACCATGGTAAGTAAAACAAACCTTCATTCATAGTTATCACTTGCAACACAATAGCTGGTAGTTTCTTGCGTACAGACAATGTTAGGCTTTTCATACATGAATGTCACTGATTGGCATGAACAAATTCTAAGGTGACCAGGTTCAAAACAGCATACTGTAAAATGTTAGTGTTTGAAGTCCATATCCTAATTCGTTTTTTCAGACATAAGGTCTTGAGTTGAATATCGTCATTCCCATTCATGTTCATTTAGCGGATGTCTCCATATATTATCATGGTTCCCAGCTTTAACATGCTTTTAGAGTTTACGTACTGTGGATGTTGATAGATATAAAAGTGTACCTTCTGCTGTTATCGGATGGAATTCTTAATCAATCAAGTAACTTGACATAAGTAATGGGATAAGGGAGTGTTAAACATGTTTTTTCTACAAACCTTTCATGATCCTTGAGTATGTAGTAATGTTGCATATATTTCTAGGTTGCTGTGAGTTGTATCTGCATCTTTGTGATACTCCCCCTAACCCTGGTGGGCACAGTGCTGGGCAGGAACCTTGCTGGCCAACCCAACTACCCCTGCCGCATCAATGCGGTACCCAGGCCCATACCAGAGAAAAAATGGTGAGTCTGTTTCCTCTGACGGGTTACCTCATGAATATTACTTTGAACAATATATCCAAGGGAAATGTGTTGTCTCTTAAAATGAAAGACTTTATGTATGTGGAGATGTATAGGTGCTGTTTAGATTGCTCCAGTGTTTAGTCAGTAAACTTGTGAAAATATCAATGGCTTATGTGTTGATACAAGCTCATTATGAATTTAATCTGGATTTGATATACTCCTATTTGAAGTTATGTCGCCATAAGGAGACTTTTATCAACCTATTTTGTTGATACAAATAGTAGGGCTGTAACAATGTATCAAACTATCGATACATTGCAGTTCTTGAGTCGCCAATAGCGTTTAATTGATGGTAGAAACGAAAAACTATCGATGTATCAATAGTTTAGTAAATTGACTTCCATTGATAAATGCGCAGTGCAAAATACAGGAAGTACCCGATTCATTCACTTTCATTTAGAGTTATCCGCCCCTGTTACCTCTTAACAAACTTGATCTGGGTTTAAAGTTTTTCGTCAGTTAAGAGACCGAAACTACTTCAGCTTGTTTTCATTTCCTATAAACCATACATTCATTTGGGAAATGACTTCAAATGAGACAATTCAAGGAGAGAAAAAATATTGCAATAGTATGTTGCAATAGACTATAGCTATGACAATAGTTGTTTCCCCCTCAATAGTCACCCCTAACAAATAGGTACCTTCAGATTTTAACTGCACTTTCTTGTAGTAATGTGCACTCTGTAGTTTAATATTTGTAATTGAGACAAATTAATGTTGTTAGCAAATGTAATTCAGAGGAAAGTGAAATACTCAAAATCAAAGTATGTTCCAGATTGTTACAAATGTGTTTCTTTACACTGATATTCTGTTGCCAGGTTCATGGAGCCCGGAGTGATCGTGGTACTTGGAGGAGTACTGCCATTTGGCTCTATATTTATTGAAATGTGAGTGATAAGCCCTCTTTACAATGATATCCATCATGAAATTAGAACGATTTAAATAAATCTTGGAAGATCCATTCTTCACTTGGAAGTCGTGTACACAAAGGATTTGATAGCCGTCATTGGTATGTTGAAACCGAGATATGCCCAGCCACCATGATACTTTTGACAAGTTGATAATCAAACTCAGATATACCGTTGGATGTAGATGTTTCATTACTTGGTCATTATCCTTCAAAATGTCTTAAAATTTGGTCTGTGTTTTGACCTTGTTTGGACTAAGCTCTTAATTCTATGAACTCAGTGAACTTTGTCATAGCTGAATTTTACAAACTAAGATGACGAAGCTTAAATTCAAGATTGTTACTCTGTATGGGGACGACCGTGAAGATCCGGGGTAGAATAGGTCTTCAGCAACCCATGTTGCTACATGTGAGGGTTTCTTTTTAATATAATTCAAATACAGTCATCACCCTTTCATGATGATTAATTTTTGAACCCTGATTTCTGACTGTCAGTGATATCAGCTTTTGTTCTGAGAGGGTGTCTATTGCATGAATCGACCTACACAGTTGACCTAGAGCCGGATATTGTATGTTATGTCTGTCTGTTTCAGGTATTTTATTTTCACCTCATTTTGGGCCTACAAGATATACTACGTGTATGGCTTCATGTTCCTTGTGTTCGTCATACTAGCCATCGTAACCGTGTGTGTCACCATCGTGTGTACTTACTTCTTGTTAAATGCGGAGGACTATCGATGGTAAGTTCATGCAATCAAAAATCGGAAACTTCAGTGAATGTCTGGATTAGCCTTTAGCAGCCCATACTTGTCATAAGACTAGAAGTAATTTGTATTTATTACCCACGTGGTCAATGTATGGGGAGTTGCATACTAATCTCGTACGTCACACGAGTGTCGTATCGCGTTGACCTATGTCGTAACGACTTGACCTGAGATTCTAACGATTTGATTGGATAACCTATGACCTCTCAGTTAGGTCATGTTGTGACGGAACTAATTGTTCATTCATAACAAACGTGTGAATTCGTTCATTCTACAACTTAGATGCATTGTTGGCATGTAAACATTGCGAATGTTGCCGTGTCGCTGTTTAATTGTGAGTCAAACTGAGACATGATATCCGTCGAAAAACATAAACGCAATGTTTCCACCAGTGATGTTAGCCGAGGGAAGCAGTTGCAAACCAAGAAACGGGGTGCTACGGAGTAGTTTACTGAAGGAGGCTGTACGAGAGGCGATGACAACTGACATGCATCGTGACGTCGGTTACCAAGGGGACAGATGAGAACGGCGTAGTGACGTCAATACAGTGTGACGTCATGCAAAAGTGTACGTCAGAACAAAATTCTTCCGCAACCTCTTTATGAAACCGGTTTCGGTTTGAAACCACAACAATACCAAAACCAAGCTCTTTTGTCAATTTAATGCTTGTAAGACAGGGTAATAAATAAAATACCACACTCGGTCTCATTACATACGAATTGTACGAAACTAGTGACCTTCCTATGGTTCCTGACCTCGCTTTCGCTCGGTCAGATACCATAGGAAGGACACTCGTTTCATATAATTCGTATGTAATGAGACCTCATGTAGTATTCTCTATTTACGTTACCTTGGTTGATATATGTTATCGTATCGTTTACCAGTTGCATAAAGTGATGTCAGTCACTGGATTGTCTGGTCCAGATTATTCACATGCCATGGTAACTGAGTAGTCATATTACCCAGTATGGTGCCAAACAACATTTATAGCATTCAGGTGATGAAAGGGAGATAATCAGTTTTGTGATTGCCTTAGTTAGCCTACCTGTGTTATAAGGACTTTCTCTTAATGCTTCACATGCCACTTTACCTTGTGATATTTTTTATAGATGTTTACTGGTAAAAGTAAATAGATATCAGGGGTGGAAATAACTTTAAAATTGATAGTGTACTCCGGTACAGTGGCACATGTAATGTCACTTGCCCTGATAATTTTTCCACTATATCGACCGTTTTCTTGCTGATTTTGTAAATAAACAACATAATTAACATTGGAAAGTCAACTGGACACGGTACAGTGTGATATACAAATGTGCTTGCCCGACAGAAAAAAACACTGGACTCGGACGTCGGGCAATGGGTTATTTCCAGCCCTGGATATGTACAACTTAAGTATGAATAGTTTGTGCTGCAGCAGTTCGGATGAAAACTATTACTTGTTGATCTCTGTTATGATGATTATTATTTGAACCCTGATTTCTGATTCATCAGTGATTTCAAACTTAGTACTGAACAGGGAGACATATATGCATTCACATATACATACTGATCACATATTTGTTCTGGTGTTATGTGCCATAGGGGTGGTGGGGTTGTCTAGTGGTTAAAGTGTTCAATTCCCCACATATGTACAATGTGTGAGGCTCATTTCTGGTGTCCCCTTCCGTGATATTGCTGGAATATTGCTAGAAGTGGTGTAAAATCAAATTCAGTCACTGGCTATTATGTGCCTAAATATGAACCACACATTACAAGCAGAAGCCTGTGTTGTCAAGCTGATTCCAGCGTGGATGATTCCAGCGTGTATGATTCCAGCATGTATGATTCCAGCATGTATGATTACAGAACAACTCCTTTGTGTTTCAGGCAGTGGACCAGCTTCCTAGCTGCAGCTTCAACTTCAGGATACGTCTATCTCTACTCATTTTATTATTTCTTCTTCAAAACAAAGTAAGTCATGATGCTAAGGTGTAGTTTTTCCTTTTTGTTGAAATTATCTTTGATAATCGATATCTAAAAAAATCCTTGCGTGACATTTTAAATCTTCATAAAAGAGAAATTCTCATGCTACTAAGCTTATAAAGGGGCTACAAAAGCCAGCCTTCAAGGATATATTAATATATACTTCTGGTCCTTTTGATATATAGAGGCAAAAAGTATCATCGCAGCAACGCCAACATTGTGCTGGTAGTTCGACTGACTATTTCTTGAGGCTCTTGGTTTTTGTGTCATTTCACTGATAAGTTTATATTTGTTTGTTGCAGAATGTATGGGCTGTTTCAAACAGCCTTCTACTTCGGGTACATGGCTTTGTTTAGTATTGCCCTTGGGATAATGTGCGGTAAGTGGAATATTGTTCACTGGTCAGGGTGCAGGACCACATTCTCTAAAACACCTGCAATTGGCAGTGCAGTTTTGTGCCAGAATCATCCAGTAATGGGTTCCATACTTGTCGTAAGAGGCGACTAACGGGATCGGGTGGTTAGGATCGCTGACTTATTTGACACATGTCATCGTATCCCAATTGTGTAGATTAGTGCTCATGCTGTTTATCACTCAATTATTTAACAAACCAACCATTAAACAAACCAACCAACCAGTAATGTGTTCAAATCCCAGATTCATTCTTTGTCAACACAATTCCAAGGTTTGGTTCGCCTCAAGTGGTAGTCGTGTATTAAAATATCTTGGAAACCCAGTATAATATAATTCCTTTTTGTGCAGTACCATCAGTTTGTTGTAGCCCATATATTTACATTAGAAGCTATCAAAAGTGTTGAAATAGGCTGGCAGATACCAGGGCTTTTCACATACTGAAGTAAATTTCTGAGACATGCTTCACTTTAACCCTTGTTCTGCCATGCTGTGACGTAACTGAAATACTGTTCAAAGTGGTGCTAAATGCCACTCGCTCATAATGAAATGGAGTAAACAGAAAGTCGTGAAAATTAAGTTGTGTAAGTAAAGTAAGAAAGTACCGTTCAATTTATTTTTATTTAAAGTTATGTTTTACCTTACCTGATGCTACACAGTGCTTCCCTGCCTTTACCTAACACACATTCCATCATACACAGTGTTTCTGCTGGCATTTTTTTACAGTTGGACATTGTGACGGGCTAGCCTTTGTAAATACCGGTCATTTGTAAATTTTAACGGTCATGTGTTCACGCTTTTCGTTGTGCATGAGACCTTGCACCCTAACAACCAATCTGAAACGTTGAGGCTATCACAATGAGGCAATGCCACTATTTTTAGCCTGGGGTTTTCCAAAACTGCTATTTTTTATTTGACAACACCAACAGCCTTTGAAATTACAGGACATTCTAATTTTGTACCAATCTAAGTCCGGAATATTCTGGATAACGGAAATACTGATACGGTGAAAAAACTGAGGTTTCATGGACCAAGATAGATAACTCAGGGGTACTGGGGCATATTGTCAATCTGTTCTTTATATTGTCCCTCTGTTTAGTACTGTCTGTTAGGCTAAGGTAGGGAAACTGAAGCACTGTGCAGCATCAGGTAAGTATACAACCATTGCATTTATCCCAAAATGATATTCATTTTATATGAAGTTTGAAAGTTACATTTTCAAACATTTCAATACACTTTTTCTTGAATTCTACAATTGATGCCCACTGTTTATTTGCTTAATTGGATATTTTGGACACAGATTTTATCACAAACAAGTTCTTATCGTTGTTCTAATCATGTGTTGCAGGAACCTTCGGCTATGTAGGAACCAGCCAGTTTGTGAGGAAAATATATTCTACAGTGAAAATTGACTGACACAGCCTAGTAGTGTGTGTATGGTGGAGAAACAACCCACACAACTCAGCACCGGGGAGGGAAGCTTAGAAGGTCCTGTGGTGATCAGCAACATCTTAGTCAGTACAAGTCTGGATGTCACCAGTGGATAGACGGACCTGAGAAACCACATGCAGCACAGATTCACTTGATGGTTGTTGTTACTTTATTGGAGACTGGCTGTTGACAAGGCCTGGTTGATGTATGGGAGCTGTTGTGATTATCTCATCGCTCCTACCACATAATACAATAAATGCATGGATATGTAGACTGTTGGTGGGATGATTCTAATATTGGGAAAATTGATAGTTATGTACTGGCTTTATTTTTTGTTGGCTGTTACTTTTTGTTGGTTTTGACATAATTTCTATAAATTTAGCTGTAGCTATTCTGTAGGTTAATTGTGTACACATAAAAACCATAGAAAAACCCAAACATGTATATAGATCTAAAACTATCTACTTAGCAAGCTTGTAAAAATCATAAGAAATCTTATTTATTGAAAAAAGTTATATTTAGGAAAGAAACTTTGAAATCCTGTGATACAACATATCATGAAGATTTGCCAAGCTTTATGATATGGAAGGTAAAGTTTTTGTGATAGCTCCTCCTTTAAATGTGTGGTGAGACAGATACAAATAGTATTGCTTATGTGTGACTATCAGGACAAACTTAAAAAATGATCAGTGTCTCACATTGTGTATCTTGGATAAATGGAAAAGGGATATGTGAGAGTAATATGTTTTGATTTTTCCGTAATATTTTTGGTAAATTTTCGATCATTTTCTTCTGATCCCAACGGAACGCCTAGTGAAGGATTCTGTTTTTAAAATGTATTTAAATTTTCACATCAGTTTGACTCAGTTCCTTGGGGTATTTTTCGAAAGCTGGTATTGATTCAAATTAACTGCAATAGAAACCTGTGATAGCAGGTAGTAGAAATACGACCAAAAGGTCCTTGCTATCTGAACGTTAAATAGTAGCAGAATAGTTAATATGCAGAAGAATTAGTGTCTAAAACTGATTAATGTGCTGAGATGATCTAAGTGAATTTGGAGGTTGGAATGTTGTAGAATATTGAACAAGGTTTGTGTATCGTGATGTTGCACACACAATGAAAAAGGGATGGAATCATAAGGATTCCTTGGAAAATTGTTTGTAATGTATATTGTTGAGGGCAAGTTCCATTGATTTTATAATTTTTAGTTGAAATGTTTTGTTGAAATATTTACCTATTCTAGCAGTGACAGAATGTTATGTCGTCTTTTCAATTGTCTTGCTTGCATGAACTGCATGTGTTTGGTGCAAGGTTACGTACAATGTGTGGTATGAAAATCTGTTAGACTTGGACCAAGATCTGTGGTACTTGCACGCTTACAACATTCTTTTACAATATGCTTTTTATGTGCTTACCGAATCCGTTCCCAAATTACCACATGCTAAGACATTTGTTCATGATGCAGCTTTGAAATTGTTCATGAAGTAAGCTTTTCTGTTATCAAAATGTACAATAGTACTGACTTCTCAGTCAGTTTGCCTTGGTTGGGCACTTTGTACACAATGTGGAAACATTCAGGCCTACAACACTCCAGCGCTGTTGTTGCAGGAGCTGAAGGGCCAAAATAAGCTTGTACAAATTAGTGTTGTTTCATTTAATTATTGGAAATTCTAATTCAGATTAACTGGCATGTTTTGCTTCTGGTATGGTCCGATTTAACTTTGTTTCATTGGGTTTGGTGAAATTGCCAATACCACCCTTTTTTATGTTTTTTCTCCCCTTTTTTTTTTGACATTCATTGAGTTTTCTAACTTGTACAAACAATGCACATGATCTGTACATAATAGTAGCTGGCGTGTATTTAATTCGTGCCCATAACCCAACATTGCATCATGTATTTAATGTCCATTACTCAGCTGAGGCCTATGTTCATAGAGTGAATGGGGTAAGTGGGTGGTATTATGTGTGGCTGAATGTCTGACCAATCCATTGGGATGAATTGCAGTTGGTAGCATCTGATTCATCATGTACATAGCTGTCACACTTGGTGATAGTTGATCACAGTTGGTATGCTCTTGTGAACATGTGTAATCTTCATTACAGCATCATATTTTATATGGCCTTCGGTCATATCGTGGGTGTTGATACTGTTTGTCCTAACAACAGCATGGTATTTCCTCAACAGCTCAGTAAGTTGTGTATTACAGAAATTGACATGAAATCGACGTCTCATTTCGTATCTCTTTCTAAGTGTTGCTGATGTAGAGATGTAATAATTTGGTAGATGATCAGCTGTACATATATTCTATTTTTTAAATGGTTCTTAACATTTGGATTATTATTCTACCATGTTTATAGTGTACAATAATATCTGAAGGGTTGAAAGCTAATTTGGTGAATGTTGCTGTTTGCAACATATTTTTTGACCATTGTGTAGTCTCATCTCAACATGCTATGTACAGACATGCTACACACTGAAAGTTGTGTCAGTACTCATGGGTTCTACTGATATCTGCTATGTAAGTGTTCAGCTACATTGCAGAAATAAAATGTAAGATACACTGAATTGTTGTCTTTTCTTATCCTAATTTACAAAGGGGTGGTTGGGTATCCTGGTGGTTAAGGCGTTCACCTGTCACGCTGAAGACCCGGGTTCGATTCCCCACATGGGCACAATGTGTCCTCCACCGTGATATTGCTGGAATATTGCTAAAAGCACTGTAAAGCTAAACTCACTCACCCTAATTTACAAGAAATGCGAAGACCAAAATTTCTGCATATTTTATCGGATATCTATTTTTCAGTTCTACACACAACCTGATTCTCATGTTTATATACCTGACACACAGTGAGAATCAGGTTTTATGTATAATTGAAAAAACGAGAATATCCCATAAAATGTGCAGCAATTTTGGTCCTATGTGAAATGACATCTGATTATCCCTTGGCTATACAGATTGATTGAGGAAGGATGTAAAGGAAAGAATGCACGCGGCAATATACCAGCTGTTCTGTCGATGCGACAAATATGGTACATATACCTAAAGCTGGACCAGCTGAGCAGTTACTAGAACTTGTACGTTGAAATGTCGTGTGTCGTGTAAAGTGGCAATTGCACTAACGCGATTGTAATTCCCATACCTTTACGTAAATTTGTGGCAGTGGAATTGTGCAAGGGCATCCAGGACACTATAGCTGCAAAGACACCCTGCCACAACTGATGTTCGTCAACATATCCAAACTGGGGTGCTATTTCTCCATAGGTGAAGGTGTGGACATTATTTGCCATCAAGGGGCGGTGGGGTAGCCTGGTGGTTAAAGCGTCCTGTGTTAAGCCCATTTCTGGTGTCCGATATTGCTGGAATATTGCTAAAAGCGTAAAACCATACTCACTCACTCACTCTCACGATGACCCGGGGATCTTCATCCAGCATGGTACATTGTTCAGTAAACTATACACATTATTACATGTAGAAAGTGTCAGGTCAAGCACTGATAAGTGGAGAAACATGGGGCTATGGTTATACCACTTTTAGATTGATTTTACAGAGCCAGGCTTATATTGGGGACAACAGTAGGAAGTCTTGATGCTATATGTGATATATCTTATGGCTTGTGCTGTATTGAACATTTATATATTGTGCAGGGCAGAGTTATCCCCCTTTGACTACACTACCATCACTTTCCCAACAGCATTTATCTTGTATGTGTGAGTGTTCACCTTGGACCTCACTGATCTTGTCGAAAGGGGGATCAGGGATTATTCATAAGTCGCCCCAACTTTTCAGACTCCTTTCACATTAACTGTGCCCGGAAATGTTACTGTCTCCTTGTTGCCAGGCTAAAGGGTGCCATTTGAAGGTAGCGTATGGATTGTTTTGCTAAAGAATGACATACCTATATGAAGAAAATACTTGTCATGTGACTGGAATATTTCTGTGGTTGTTCAAGCATGTATTATTGTTTCTTGGTTTATCAGCACTCAATCTGTGCCTGCTGTGTTCATCAACGTGATATACTTCTAAGCTGCATCACCTCACTTCCACATGGAGCTAACATGTGATGCACCTCAATACTGTTCCAAATAGCCTCATCCCATTTTGTCAGAGCGTAATATGGGTACAAGTTAATGTTCTTGATTTCATGAAATATTTGCACATATTTGTGGCTTCTTCCATTCATACACTTTGTAGATGTCATTAAAAGGGGTTAACATTGTGTTACAGGATTATGACACCAACGTCGAAGTGCATCCATGTGTGTGGACTGAAGCCACTTTTATAGTGTTAGCCCACTGAGGTACCATGCTTCAGTTTCATTGGGTTTGACTCCAGGTTTCTGAGATTGAAAGCTCTGTGCTTGTGCTTCATAGTTTCACCGAAGTGACACCTTGAAGTCACCTTGCATTACATCAGGCTTCCCACCCACATCTAGCTGAGACAGTGTCACATCCCTGGAACAATACGCCACACCACACTCAGACACAATTTAGGGACACACTGCCAACCAGCCCTTGTCTTCTCCCCTTCACGCTGAGCACCAGGCAAGGTATTGACAACATCTTTCAATGTCACTTGGTTTAACATGGAAAGAGGGTCTAACCCCCAACCAACTCTCCTCAATCTGGACAGATGCTCCATGAGGTGGTTACAGAATCATTGAAACAACTCCAAATGTAAAACGCTGTACATGTTTTATTGATGGTATCAAATACGACTTTTTTAAACTGTAAATTCACATCCAAAAGTGCTTCAAATGTAAAACAAAGACTGGTAGTCTAAAAATGATCTGCCATCACAAAACTTGCTACATTAATCATATGGTACAACAACCAATAGAAACCAGGCTTCCTAACAACATGAAACAACACTCACAGACAACATCACTGCCGTAGAGCTACATCCCTGACTAAAATTAATGTACATCAGCACAATGGAGGCGGGAGAAGGCGTTATCACGAACTTGGGTAAAAGAGCATCATATCAATATCATAACAGGGGTTTCCGTCTCACACAGATATCACTATGACTATCTTGGCCATCATAATAGCCTAAGACTGCTTTGTGAAGCACATCCCAAGGCAATCTTTGTGCTAAGACTGTCGCAATTACCATTCTCTCACAGAGCATTACCACAGTCATAGCAAAAAGTATTGCTTTTCAGGAACCATTGCTAAATGTGATCTTTGAGCTAAGTCAGGCACACCGCCCTTGCTCTGACAGAACCATGCCACATTGGTTAGAGATGAGATTCCTTTCTGTGACAATGTTTTAGGTGATCTTAGCCCTGAGACTATCTTAATTCCCAATCTCAAACTGAAACTTGTCATGGTCAAAGAGCTAAGACTGCTTTATGGAACCACAGTTCAAACCCATCTTATCCCAAAGGCTTATCACAATTCTCATTCTCTAACAAAGATCACTTTGGGAAACCGATTCCAGCGACTTTCATGTAGATGTTACCTTAGATTAATCTCCACTAACAAACCACATCCCCATCACTGATGCAATTTAGAAAATGAGAAAGGTAGTTTGGAGGTTGATGAATGAACGAGATAATACTTAATGCCCCATTATATTGTTGTGGAACAAGTGAGTGACCATGGTATTATGCCATGTTGAAATACCTCCAATCGCATCTCCATGGGTACACCAAGAATGGATGGCACACTGTACCAACATAGGGAATTGAACCAGGTGTGTTGAACCAACATCTGAAGCACTAGCCCACCACCTTCTTAATTCAACCCTTCCTCACAGCTGTTTGGGGATCAGGTGCTAGTGCAGCTGTGGTAACTGTATCTGCTCTGATTACTATAAACGATTTTGATTTTGAAATTATGGACGTTTACAGCGACAAGTACCGAGATACAATTATCACAGCTAATGCTGATGAAGCAGCTTTTTTCATATTGTCCACATCATTTAAAGGCATCGTGTGTGTAACCATGGACAGTTATATAAACACACCCATTTCAATCCTTTTTCACAGTTTCACTGCTTGAACACAGACTCAAGAAGTGGAGTCTTCCAAATTTTCAATTTGTAGTTAACTGGTTTTACTAAATGTAAACACACAACTATCCCATTTGGTGATATCCTTTCACAAATCGGAATTTCCAATCACAAGATGCAAGCATAGTTTTCCCCAAACGCTGGATCCAATCTTGACTGTACCCCAGATATCTATCCTACTAACACTCTTAATGTTTGTTACACAATGAAATGTATCTACAGATTGCATGAACGTGATGTGAATACCCCTGTACTCTAGATTGTTTACAATTGAGTTATTTTCTTGTTGCTTTATTCCCTTCCTTATGTGATAGGCCCTGCCTGCTTGAGTTGTATACAGTGATATTATTTCTGACTTGAATTCATTCTGTACAGAGACTGAAATAAGTCAACGTCAAATATCAAAATATATAAAAATCATTCGAGGATGTACAATAGCAGCATGTTTTTCATCTCATGTTTTGGTCTTTGAAAATTTGATTTACATCAATAAAATCTTTAAAATTCACACATTGAATTAATAAATGTTTTGTGTTAAGATCACTTGTAATAAAACAGTTTTAACATATTCATAAAACATTAGAATAAAATTCTAGCTCCCACATTCAAGAAATGTGGCAAGTTACTAAATGTTTACAAAGCACTAATTCAAATATCACACTGTCCAGAAAATATCCAAAACCTTGTCAGGATTTTAGATTCGAATCTGACTGCTGCTGCTAAACAGATACTAAAACATCAACAACATTCAAATGAGTTAAATGATAAACCTGTTCACTGTGGACTCGGCAAGCACCATGTTATTAATGCTCACATCCTATATAGATTGTGAGCTGGTCAAATACTAAATTATGCTCAGAATACACAAAATTGCACAACACACTAACAATACGCCTCGTTAATGCAAAACTCATCCAATGTCTTCAACTTCAAACCTGGGGATAACCATTGTTTTTTTAATGTCAAACAATAATCATCAATTTTCAGAAAAAACAAAACATTTGCTTTCCATCACTGTGTTGAGCTGGACTCTAACCTCCCTGATTTGATGAAATGTGTTTGATGTTATAAAACAATTAAACTGTTTGTTTTTTTCAAAAGCATGGCTTTTACAAAAATATCATTGCTTATTACTTTTCAGTAAAGACATGCAAGCATGTTTTACAAAATGTAAAGATTTCTTTAATATATCTTCACAACATTGATATAAGTGTAACTGTTTTTTCTGTATAATGTCTCATCATACGCTGCTAAAGTTTCATTGAATGTTTGCATTAGAGGGCTTCTTGTTAACGCCGACTATTTACAAGTGTGCCATTCCATGAAAGTCAGGTCAAAATGACATAAACATTTGAGGCATTTTCTGTTAAACATCTCAATAACTTGTTCCGAATCTGGCTTGTTTAAAAGCAAGTTTTTCTTCTGGTGAGAATTAAACATTGTATCCACATAAAAACTCTACAATCACAGAACTCATTTCAAGCGAAAGGCCTGTGTATAAATTGTGTAAACCAAATTTCTGGTTTAGAAGCAGTGATGACTTTCACAGGTAGCAGATCTGATGTTATGTACACAGTAACCATGGTAACATCAATAACAAATACAGATGACAATATACAAAGGTATTGAGCTATAAACATACTCTCACAGCACTCTTCTGCTTAAAATGAAGTCCCGTTTAATTCTTCTCCCTCCATTTCGTCACCCATCTGCAGGTGTGTTTGAGTATTATACCAGAGCGTCTGAGTATGTCCCAATTTTTAACCAATCAGGCGGCAAGACTGTTTGTCAAGCCGAGAACCCAGACCAACAAACAACACATATGAATATTCATACACTCTAAATGACGCACGTCTCTGAATCTATGGTTTTGGAACTTACTGTTCCATTATTTTGATTCCACTCTTAAAATGGCTAGCACTGAACATCCATGAAGAAATAGTTTGTCATCTTCATCGTGACAACTGGAGCCACCAACCCTGCCCTATTTTGGTAATATCAGCTGTTGTGTTGTTGCCATGACAATGGTGGAAGATGGTGCCGAGGCTTGCGCCGATCTGGCAAGAATTTGTTGGTGAACTATTTCAGTTCCGGCCTCACTGGAACTCTGTTTCCAACTCTTTGACAGTCTCAAACGTCTGTGTGTTCGAGTTATCCTCCAGCCTGAATGTTCCATAGAAGCCCTTCGAGTTGAGCGTATCGTCCGACTTGAAACGAATCATCAGAGTCTCTCCTGATGACATTATGTCATCTGGGATCTGAAAAATAATTTGGACAAAAACGTAAAATGTACGGTGCAAGAATGAATGCTGTTTTTAGAAATGTTTCAGCAAAATGCACAGAACAGAAGAAATGGGCTCCTCACATTGTACTCATGTTGAGATCTGAACCTCTCCCTGATGACTGAATTCTTTAACTGGGCATCTACACTGCTCCAGTAAATTGTAGGAATGAGTACAGGCTAATGAATATAGCTTCAATTTATACCTCCATAACTAATTGCATCAATACTTTGTTTCATAGTACTTCAGAAACATCTTGGTAATCCTCCACCAATCGATATCTGCTCTGTTATTGACTACTTTATGAACACCCGTTAAGGGGCAATCGGGGGAGCCGTGTCTGAGAAAATCAGGGGAGGTCTTCCAAAAAAAGGACAAGGGGAGGGTTAAATAAAAGAAATACACATATACAGTGTGTGTGTGAAAACTGTACAAGGCCATGAGTTCACGAGTGAGTGAGTTGGATTTTACACCGCTTTTAGCAATATTCCAGCAATATCACAGCAAGTGACACCAGAAATGGACAAAGCCATGCGAAGTGTCATTAAAAAAATATGACAAGCATTACTGAAAGGTAATTACTTACAGTTCATGAGTGTATAACAAACCTGACCTACCCACCCCTATAATAGATAACCAATCCCTAACATAGATGATCACCAAAATTAAGTTTGCGGACATCTGCAAGCTACCTGGCCAGTAGCCAAGACTTCCTCCCAATACAGAGGACCTGCAAGGTCACTACAGTATGCTCCAACAAGCATTGTAATCTAAAGGTCATCATGTCATAATCAGCATGTGTAAAACCAACCATGCCCAGGTTGGTCTCATGTTAGGCTCTACATATTGTGTGGATTAATTGTAAACAAAGGTCTTATTCATTTATTTTGGTACTTTGAATGTAGGGTATTTTAGAAAGAAATGTTGACTCACTGTAGCGCCACAGTATCTGCCCAGGGTGGGACTTGTGTCGTGGGCACCGTCAAACACCTCGATGGAGTCGTAGCTGAAAGAAAAACTCAATCATTATAGGTGTTTCATACAGAGGAATGTAGATTGTACACAAATACAGACACACACACACACGCAGAGCATATATGATCCCCACATGATGACATCATCCTTGTAAGCCTTCTCAAACATGAATCTCTCATCCTGTGACATTACTCCCCATACATCCCACTCCCCGTAATATACTCCCTCTGTAAGCCTCCCTAGGCCATTAACCTCATCCTGATGACCCTCCCAGGGAGCCTCTTCCTCCCACGAGCCTCCTATTGAATCTCTTCCCCAGTTATCCTCCACCTAATGAGCCTCTTCCTCCCATGAACCTCCTATTGAATCTCTTCCCCAGTTAGCCTCCACCTCATGAGCTTCTTCCTCCCATGAACCTCCTCATAGTGAATCTCTTCCCCAATTAGCCTCCACCTCATGACCTTCTTCCTCCCATGAGCCTCCTATTGAATCTCTTCCCCAATTAGCCTCCACCTCATGACCTTCTTCCTACCCATGAGCCTCCTATTGAATCTCTTCCCCAGTTAACCTCCACCTCATCACCTTCTTCCTTCCATGAGCCTCCCTCCTAGTGAATCTCTTCCCCAATAGCCTCCACCTCACGAGCTTCTTCCGCCCATGAACCTCCTCGTAGTGAATCTCTTCCCCAATGAGGTTCTATCACGAGCTTCTTCCTCCCATGAACCTCATCCTAGTGAAACTCTTCCCCACTTAGCCTCCACCTCATGAGCTTCTTCCGCCCATGAACCTCCTCGTAGTGAATCTCTTCCCCAATTAGCCTCCACCTCACAAGCTTCTTCCTCCCATGAACCTCCTAGTGATTCTCTTCCCAAATGAACCTCTACCAAGTGAACCTCCTCTTAGTGAATCTCTTCCCCAATTAGCTTCCACCCAATGAGCCTCCACCTAGAGGGCCTCTTCGCCCTATGAGCCTTCCCTGACTGAGCATCCCCTGTGATCCTCCCTAAATCCCCATCCCCTCCTCCTCCTTACCCACAGTCTGTCTCCTCCTCCACCTAGAGGGCCTCTTCACCCTATGAGCCTTCCCTGACTGAGCATCCCCAGTGATCCTCCCTAAATCCCCACTCCCCTCCTCCTTCTTACCCACAGTCTGTCTCCTCCTCCACCTAGAGGGCCTCTTCACCCTATGAGCCTTCCCTGACTGAGCATCCCCAGTGATCCTCCCTAAATCCCCATCCCCTCCTCCTCCTTACCCACAGTCTGTCTCCTCCTCCACCTAGAGGGCCTCTTCACCCTATGAGCCTTCCCTGACTGAGCATCCCCTGTGATCCCCCCTAAATCCCCATCCCTCCTCCTCCTTACCCACAGTCTGTCTCCTCCTCCACCTCGAACTCCACGAAGTGGAACCTGATGTGGTAGCCCTCCCTGGCCTGTATCGTCCACTCACACTCCTCTCTGTTGTCATAGTGCTGGTCGCCATATTTGGCATGGGAGAACAGGTTCTGATTGTTTTTGGTAGCAACAAGGTGACCGCCACAAACTACAAGAGAAGGAGTAGACAGGCTGCTAACTTGTGTAACAGAGACATCCAGCATCCCTGGCTCAAACAACTCTTTTTACATCAATCAGATCTGTCTTTTGGACTCTTTCAGAAATATGTATAAAAACTATGTAAAAATCCCATGTATTTACTTAATTTGCTGTGTATATGATGTTGATGGCAGTCTTTGTCTTTGAGTGAGTGAGTGAGTTTAGTTTTACGCCGCACTCAGCAATATTCCAGCTATATGGCGGTGGTCTGTAAATAATTGAGTCTGGACCAGACAATCCAGTCATCAACATCATGAGCATTGATCTGCGCAATTGGGAACCGATGACATGTGTCAACCAAGTCAGTGAGCCTGACCACCTGATCCCGTTAGTCGCCTCTTACGACAAGCCTAGTCGCCTTTTATGGCAAGAACATGGGCTGCTGAAGACCTATTCTACCCCGGATCTTCACGTGTCTCTTTGTCTTTAATGGTAGTTGACTGTACTGAGAGATACCTGACCATATATGATCAGATTACCTCCCTTTGCATCATAAAGGATTGGGTTGCGGCGTACAGAACGGAGGAAAGGCATGTGAGGAAAACAAACTATTAACATGTTTCTGGCCACAACATAAACCATCTGGATTTTTCAACACAAGTCTTCTAAAGATGCAGTTTATGCAGACCAACCCATCATAAAATTACAAAAATAGGATAAGTCATGCTTTTCCTCAAATGCAAAACATCAACTCCATGCTTTTAAAAAATGAAATGGTAAATCCATCCCGAAAATGTTTTCTGCAAATCAACACCCAACATTAACAGCTCATCGAAACAAAGCTGGAGGCTTGTCTTACCTGATTCATGTTCAGCATGGAAGCCCTTGCGTTGTACTGACGCATCCGAGTAGAACACCATGTACATCCTATTCCCGCTGGAGGTGATCGGATCGGGTTGTTTACTCCCACAGAATTTACCTAGACTTCTGGCGCTGTTATCGTCTCCGTCGAACACGATGATGTGGTCATATGTACACTCCTGGTGGGGCTCCAGCTCAAAGTCGTGGAAGGTTAGCTTGATTCTGTGACCTGGTTTTGTTGTGAAATGCCACACACAGTCTTTCCGACTGGGGTAGAAGTTTGGCCAGTTGGGGCTGCTGATTTCACCATAGGGGTCAGAGATCTCGTGTTGACAGCCACCTGTCAATCAAGGTGGAAAAAATCAGGTGCTGATTGTGTATATTGACAAATTAAGAGAAACTGAGGGATGTTTTCTGTCCAAAGAGTGTTTGGAGGATATATATGTTCCTCTTGTGTATACCTTCCCCATTGTTTGTTTCGCCCTGAGTTTGATCATTGCTTCCATCAGACACACCTAGAGTGATCCTAGACGTCACACCTGCTCAGTTTAAGGTATACATTCTTGAAATACTGAAGTCCTTTAAATAGTTAGTTTCAGAGATTGATATCTCTCGATATCTTCTGTATATGTTACACACCTCATTATACTGAAAGAAGGTTAATTCTAAAGCTCGTGGGTACAGCTAACATTATCATGGATGACTGAACGACCCTTCTATTCTGTACGTTTATCAGTGTGTTTATATTTCACACCGACTCTATATCTTGTTACATGTTACATCTCAAGTTACCAACATTTCATAAAAAATACTAGTTTCTACATACTACAAAGCAATTTCCAAATACTTAATAAATAATATCAAAGCAGAAAAAACAATATTATGATGATGAAGATATAACTAGATTTAACGATACTATCTCCCAACATAATACATGTACATCAATAGATTCCCAGTTCCGATACTCTTGAAGCTCTTAAATATTCAGAACTGAAAACTCATTTAAAATCATTCTGAAAAACGCAAGTTTACGCCATGTCTGCTACCAAGTCGTAAATCTGTTTCACTTAACCCTACGCAATAGACACGTGTTAATTTCACACCAGAGTTAGTTATTCCTGTGATATACAGGAAATCCAGACTGCCATTTTCAGCATGACTGACGCTGGTTATCTAAGTAAGTTTTAATGCAATTTACATGTTTCGTGCCATGTATCTCCACAAGTACATGTTGCATCAGCAGTGATGGGATGAAAACATTCTATTATTTACATGGATGATATCCTGGAATGCTAAATGTATCCAAAGGCAGGACACTTTTCTTGAAGGCAACTTCCATGAGTATGTTATGGTAAAACATTTTCTGCTGACATTTAAAAAAGGGGCTGGGTGTGCCCAGTGTATTGCAGTTGTATAAAGTGAAACTCATCACTCAAAGTTTTTTGACTATGAGAAGCATTGCAAATTATCCATAGTTTGAATCAACACAGTGTCCGAGTTTTAGAGTTTTAAATAAAATAATTTTAAGTGATGGATTTTAATTTAATGTTTTTGGATTCAAATCCACTTAAACAGTGTTCACTGGTGCCAGGGTATTACAGCTTTTGGTGTTACCCACCAACTGAGGTATGGTGCTCAAACAAGAATCATATACTGGAATTCTTGTGCAGTTTGCAGAAAGGACATTGGCGCCTCTTGTAACCAAACCTCATCAGGATCACTCACCTTCTTTACAATCATGCTGGTTCTCATGCAGTGTGAAGCCGTTGTAGCAGGCACACTTGTAGGAGCCCACTGTGTTTTTGCAGATATGCTGGCACCCACCATTGTCCACAGCACACTCATCCTTATCTGCAGAAAAACATCAAGTCGGGTTGGTTATAGTATAAGGTTCAATATTCGAACCATTTCTGGAAAATGTCAGTCCCTAGCTTGGTGTAGACAGACTGAAAATGAAACAGTATCTCTTCAACATTCAACTTTATTCCCATGTCGGAATGGACTGACTGACTGAGTTTGGTTTTACGCCTCTGTTAGCAATATTCCACCAACATCATGGCAGGGGACACCAGAAATGTCGGAATGGAACCTTGATGGTAAGGGAACACACTAACTACTTGGCTACCCTATTATAGAACCATTATCAAAAAACATTTAGTAAAGAGTTATGAAAAGGCTCATGTACCAAGTGGTCACACTCAATGTTCATATCTGCTGGAAGGACTTGCATAGTCTAAGGTGTCATAACAAAAAGCATTAACACACCAGTGTACATCAGCCAGTGTTGGCACGGACACACAACATAAACCAGCAAATCATGCTGACTGTCGGAATTAATTACAGAACCTGAAGAGATAAGACTGAGTGATGTGTTTTAGGAAAGTAACTAAGGTCAAATTTCAATGTAAAAAGCCGTGCTTACCTGTCATGAAGTTGGCCTTGAAGCCTGACTTCTGAACCGAGTTGTCAGAGTTGAATTCTATCCTCAATGTGTTGACCTCGGAGGTGACCGCGGTGGGTAGAGAGGCACCGCAGTAGACCCCGTGGAGCTTGGAATCCTTGCCCACCCCGCTGCTGACCCGTACAGAGTCGTACTCACAGTCACGCTGGAACACAGACATTGGACCTGAGTGAGTGAGTGAGTTTAGTTTTACACTGCACTCAGCAATATTCCAGCTATATGGCGGTGGTCTGTAAATAATCAAGTCTGAACCAGACAATCCAGTGATCAACAGCATGAGCATCGATCTGCGCAAATTGGGAACCGATGACATGTGTCAACCAAGCCAGGGAGCCTGACCACTCCATCCCGTTAGTCGCCTCTTACGACAAGCATGGGTTACTGAAGATCAATATTCTAACCCGGACCTTCACGGGTCCATTGGACCTGAACAGACAGTCCAGTTCATTCTGTGGTAGCAACAGCATTAAGTTGTTTTCAATGTACTCAGCTACATTCCAGCCATGTGATGATGTCTAATTTAATCAAATCTGAATCCAACAATCTAATGAATGATGTCATGATCAACGATCCTTGTGTTGGGGTATGATGACAGGCACTCAACATAATCAACAAGACCACCTGCACAAGGAGACACCTTTCATGACAAGTACAGGTTGCTGGGGAGGAATTTCAGCCCAGAATCCAAACGAGACTATGTATACTACCCCAAAACCATGTATATGGGAACAATCAAACTAGTGGTCAATGGTGTGACCATTTGGATAGATATACTATCTTATATGATGTCAACTGCAAGTAGCACATCCAAGCATGCCAAGGTAACAAGATATGACCCTTGTGCAAAGTGAGTGAGGTTAGTTTTACGTCACACTCAGCAATATTCCACCTATACGGCAGCGGTCTGTAAATAATGTGGACCAGATCAACAGCATGAGCATCGATCTACGTAATTGGGACACGATGACATGTGTCAACCAAGTCAGCGAGCCTGACCACCCGATCCCGTTAGTCGCCTCTTACAACAAGCATGGGTTACTGAAAACCAATTTTAACGTGGATGAGTACCTTTGTGTAGAACCAGTGTTACCCAGATGACGAGTGTGAAGAGCAAACACTGTACCTACTGGCCTAATCCACCTCTCTTTAACCCTAGGTATCCACTTTAAACAGCAGTATGTTATATCAGTGAACTACAACAATCCAGACAAGTACAGACAAGGGTACGTGTAATCACTCAGTTGTGTTATTGAGCAAGTTAATCTTATTTTGCAAAATAAACCTTGACTTTTTGGCTTAATCCATGTAAGCAGCAGATTTGCTTTGGTAATAACCAGCATGCATGTTTTGAAGAGCGGAGACTCAGTTATGTCATCATTACATGTTTGAAATAGAAACTGTTTAATGTCATGCTCTTCTGACATTATCTCTGTTGACTTCACAAACCCACTTGTTTGGCATTAAACCGGCCATTATACTCAACACTAGGAGTCTCATTTTGTGATGGTGGTTTGTTCCACCAGATACAGGGACATTTGGAACATGAGTCACATGTGATGACCCTCGGAACAGTAATTCACTCATTTCAGTGTCTGTGTAGGAGTTGAGGATGTCACAGACATTAAGAAAGTTTCCACCCACAACTTCTACTCCACATTCAGCCAGGGTCAGAGCAACCCAACTCTAACCCAACCCAACATAAAATATAGTTTAACACTTCTAGCCAAGTGTTATGACTTTTTCAAATTTCGAGGCAGGTGAAAGTTACGTTTTTACCTAACACTTACCACTTTAGTGGAACTTAAAGACTGGAAAATTATAAATGGTCCTTATATTGCTCAGGGAAGCAGTTCATCACAGAAAACTGTGGCACCTTAGACCAAACACTTCTTCTCCCTGCGGAAGTTAGAAAGCTGCATCCAAAATAGCATTTTCAATATTTTTACAATCTTTAGAAGTTGGTTAGTTAAAAGGTAGAAAGATATTTTATGGACGCCAACATCTATTATGATGTGATATTTCATATATCCTACACCAGTGTCACTCCTGCCTTACAGTTGATATTAATTTACATAGGAAGGAAATTTCACTGTGGGATTTTCAAAAGAAGGGAGTGTGGGTCAGAAAGAGTGAGTGAGTGGGTGAGTGAGGAGTGAGTGGGTGAGTGAGTGAGTGAGTGAGTGAGTGAGTGAGTGAGTGAGTGAGTGAGTGAGTGAGTGAGTGAGTGAGTGAGTGAGTGAGTGAGTGAGCGAGTGAGTGAGTGAGTGAGGGAGTGAGTGAGCCGAGGGAGTGGTGAATATTGCTTTACGCCACTTTTAGCAATATACCAGCAATATCAAGGCGGGGGACACCTGAAATCGGCTTCACACATTGTACCCATGTGGGGAATCAAACTTGGATCTTCGGCGTGACGAGTGAATGCTTTAATCACTAGGCTACCCCACCACCCTACTGTCTTGAACCACCAGCGTTTCAGTGTCATTCAAATCACTTCTTTCTATGTGCTCCATTTAAACATTAAAGGTCATATTTTAATCTTTGAATGTATAATTCAAACATATTGATTTTTTAAAAACTACAACTATCAAGAATTCTTTATCGAAAGCCACCAAATCAATATTTAAGTTTCTGTGTGAACAAAGATGGTGGTACAGAGAACCAAACTGATACACAGTGCAATTGTTCCATGCCAAACAAATATATCCCATCACTTTAATTATGAAGACATTGTATTGACTGGTTTAAGATGACAGCTGGAATGTGGGAGTTATGTCTGAATTCCAGCAGATCGGTTTGACCACTGACTCATCAAGGCAATTACATCCATTATTTAGCGGCGAAATCAATGCTTGGCAATTTCATTCATCTGTATCACTGTTTAAAACTCTGAATGGTTATTTCCCATGTGAAATTAAATTTTGTATGGCAATCCATACATCTGTGTGTGTGTAAGTTCTATTTATAAAGTATATATATTTAAAACAACTTTGGGTACATTTTTCAGTATCGAGGCATCTTGATACTGTTGCAACAATTTTACCTAGACATTATAAACCTGCCTTATACGGTAATCTGATGTGTTATCTTGTGATATTGACGATACCTGTGATACTGACAATACCTGTGATACTGACGATACCTGTGATACTGACAATACCTGTGATACTGATGATACCTGGGATACTGACAATACCTGTGATACTGACAATACCTGTGATACTGACAATACCCATGATACTGATGATACCTGTGATACTGACAATACCTGTGATACTGACGATACCGTGATACTGACGATACCTGTGATACTGACAATACCTGTGATACTGACAATACCTGTGATACTGACAATACCTGTGATACTGACCATACCTGTGATACTGACAATACCTGTGATACTGACAATACCAGTGATACTGACCATACCTGTGATACTGACAATACCCATGATACTGACAATACCTTCGATACTGACGATACCATGATACTGACAATACCTATGATACTGACAATACCTGTGATACTGACAATACCTGTGATACTGACAATACCCGTGATACTGACAATAGCCGTGATACTGACAATACCATGATACTGACGATACCTGGGATACTGACAATACCCATGATACTGACAATACCTGTGATACTGACGATACCTGTGATACTGACGATACCCATGATACTGACGATACCTGTGATACTGCCGATACCCGTGAAACTGACAATACCTGTGATACTGACAATACCTGTGATACTGACGATACCTGTGATACTGACAATACCTGTGATACTGACAATACCTGGGATACTGACAATACCCGTGATACTGACAATACCTATGAAACTGACAATACCATGATACTGACGATACCTGTGATACTGACAATACCCGTGATACTGACGTTCCCCGTGATACTGACAATACCTGTGATACTGACAATACCTGGGATACTGACAAAACCGTGATACTGACAATACCTTTGATACTGACACTACCATGATACTGATGATACCTGTTATACTGACGTTACCCGTGATGATAATGATACCCAGTGATACTGATAATATTTGTGATACTGACAATACCTGTGTTACTGACGATACCTGTGATACTGACAATACCTGTGATACTGATGATACCTGTGATACTGACAATACCTGTGATACTGACAATACCTGTGATACTGACAATACCTGTGATACTGACAATGCCTGTGATACTGACGATACCTGTGATACTGACAATACCTGTGATACTGACGATACCTGTGATAGTGACAATACCCATGATACTGACGTTACCATATACTGACAATACCTGTGATACTGACAATACCATGATACTGACAATACCATGATACTGACAATACCTGTGATACTGACGATACCTGTGATACTGACAATACCTGTGATACTGACAATACCTGTGATACTGACGATACCATGATACTGACAATACCTGTGATACTGACAATACCTGTGATACTGACGATACCGTGATACTGACGATACCTGTGATACTGACAATACCTTCGATACTGACAATTCCCGTGATACTGATGATACCCGTGATACTGACGATACCTGTGATACTGGCGATACCTGTGATGATAACGATACCCAGTGATACTGACAATACCATGATACTGACGATACCTGGGATACTGACCTGGGATACTGACCCATGATACTGACAATACCTGTGATACTGACGATACCTGTGATACTGACGATACCTGTGATACTGCCGATACCCGTGAAACTGACAATACCTGTGATACTGACAATACCTGTGATACTGACGAAACCTGTGATACTGACAATACCTGTGATACTGACAATACCTGTGATACTGACAATACCCGTGATACTGACAATACCTGTGATACTGACAATACCATCATACTGATGATACCTGTGATACTGACAATACCCGTGATACTGACGATACCTGTGATACTGACAATACCTGTGATACTGATGATACCTGTGATACTGACAATACCTGTGATACTGACAATACCTGTGATACTGACAATACCTGTGATACTGACGATACCTGTGATACTGATAATACCTGTGATACTGACGATACCTGTGATAGTGACAATACCCATGATACTGATGATACCATGATACTGACAATACCTGTGATACTGACAATACCATGATACTGACAATACCATGATACTGACAATACCTGTGATACTGACGATACCTGTGATACTGACAATACCTGTGATACTGACAATACCTGTGATACTGACGATACCATGATACTGACAATACCTGTGATACTGACAATACCTGTGATACTGACGATACCGTGATACTGACGATACCTGTGATACTGACAATACCTTCGATACTGACAATTACCCGTGATACTGATGATACCCGTGATACTGACGATACCTGTGATACTGACGATACCTGTGATGATAACGATACCCAGTGATACTGACAATACCATGATACTGACGATACCTGGGATACTGACAATACCCATGATACTGACAATACCTGTGATACTGACGATACCTGTGATACTGACGATACCTGTGATACTGCCGATACCCGTGAAACTGACAATACCTGTGATACTGACAATACCTGTGATACTGACGAAACCTGTGATACTGACAATACCTGTGATACTGACAATACCTGGGATACTGACAATACCCGTGATACTGACAATACCTGTGATACTGACAATACCATCATACTGATGATACCTGTGATACTGACAATACCCGTGATACTGACGATACCTGTGATACTGACAATACCTGTGATACTGACAATACCTGGGATACTGACAAAACCGTGATACTGACAATACCTGTGATACTGACACTACCATGATACTGATGATACCTGTGATACTGACGTTACCCGTGATGATAACGATACCCGTGATACTGATGATACTGACAATACCTGATGTTACCGAGTGATACTGATAATACGATTGTGATACTGACAATACCTGTGTTACTGACGATGCCTGTGATACTGACAATACCTGTGATACTGACGATACCTGTGATACTGACAATACCTGTGATACTGACGATACCTGTGATGATAACGATACCCAGTGATACTGATAATACTTGTGATACTGATAATACTTGTGATACTGACGATACCCATGATACTGATGATACCTGGGATACTGACAATACCTGTGATACTGACAATACCTGTGATACTGATGTTACCGTGATACTGACAATACCCGTGATACTGACAATACCTGTGACACTGACAATACCTGTGATGATAACGATACCCAGTGATACTGACGATACCCATGATACTGACAATACCTGTGATGATAACGATACCCAGTGATACATATCCATACAAAGATGAATCATATTACAATGAACCCTGTTTCTTGTCTACTAGTGCAATTTGTGAATTTTGGTGCCCCATCGACCGGGAATATGGTGAGTACATATATTTAATTTATGTTATGTCTTTATGAGCTAAATATTGCTATTGAGGTCATTTCCTATCGTATCATTACACTGTACATATTTCAGATTTAGAAAACAGTGTGACAATTTGGAGTGTGCTCTGACAGAACAGCAGTGCGTATAAAACCTACGTTGTTTCCTTCCAGGTCAAAGTGGGAAAAGTTGAGCATGATTCGGTACTGTTCCGGCGCCACAATCTGCCACACACAGTTCTTGTTGGGGGGATACAGTTCTGGGAAGGAGGGACTCTGGATGGTGCCGTTCTCCTGGTCGATGTAACCTCCACACGCATCTGTAACACACACAATTCACAATTACAGATCGGCACTGTCAGAAACCACACATACAATAAAAGCAGCTCAGTGCTACAATAAACAGTGTTTAGAAGGTGCAAGGACAACATGATGGCACCACCAAGTTGGCTCTCCTACCAAAACTCCAAACCTTCATGATGGCATTAGCTTTTCTCCTCTTGTTCACTGTCTTTTACCAAAACATCAGTCTAAAACTGTTATTAACACTCAGGCCTTACATGCAAATGCATGTTGATAAAAGGGCTTATGCTTTATTGCCTTCAAAAACCTCTTGATCCAACAATCTTAACAAAAACCTACCAACCAGTACTATATGCTTACTTTTCCACCTCTTTGTCGTCATATGAGCGAAATATTCTCAAGCACGACGTTAAACCCAATTTCACCTCACCTCACCTCTTTTTATTTCCGGAAAGAAAACTATTTGATTTACAATCTGACAATGTTGTTATTTCGGAAACATCTGCATGAAAAATTGTCATCAACCAAAAAACATTTCACATACACTAATCGTAACAGATTCTTGAAATGTCGCATTTATCACTTCGGTGTAATTGGTTAGTCTTGACAACTCAAGGTCTTCCGGTTCTAAATATAAAACTTCACAAACACAACAACTGACACTTCATGTGTTTCATGAGCTCATTTGCTTATACACATGTTGTTTTTGTTTAAAGTGATATTTTGGCCTTTTCTGTAACATTTTATAAAAAGGATAATTTACACTGACATTTGCATTGGTGAAGTATATGGTTTGCTTGGCTTTATTACAACACTCTCACATTACAACAATTAATTTCCAACACATTTGTACATTTCAAAGGTGTCAATTACTCTATTTTATGAAAATTGACAAATCTGGAGAAGACATTTGCATCACAAATACATGCAAATTCATATATAATGAGATTCCAACAATTATTATTATGACAGATTGACATTAAAATTGACGACATAATAACATACATCTAAATCCGTTGACACTTAATTGACATTTAAACTATAAATATTGTCACCTTCACATCTCTTCCCATCTGAATGGAGCTCGTAGCCGATTCTACACTTGCACTTGAAACTTCCGAGGGTGTTCACGCAGATGTGGTCGCAGCCATGAACGTCAGTGGCACACTCATCATATTCTGAAATAAACGTTACGGGTAATGACAAAACAAATCAAATCATCTGATCTAACAGTTAAGACTTAACATATGTTATATTGGGATTACACTTTCTTAGTAAAGTACAGATTCTAGTACTTTTTGTGTTGAGTCCTTTCCGGGATTCGAACCCATACCCTCAGAGTCAGGCACCTAAACATATGATACATTTGACCACTTTCTAAAAATGGCATTGCGTATTTCATAGCTTTCGGCCGTGGGAGCCGTGCCAATTAACACTTATCAGAGGGGTACACAAAGTCCGCAGTCTAGAGTTATTATCGTTTTATTATTATTAGTTCACCCAAACAGGATTCAAATTTCAATATGCAAATATCAAATAATTCCATAGCATTTGAATGGCTAAGGCCATTTCACATTGTGTTTCAATAGGCCCAAAATGTTTTAGGCCATGCCCACTTTTCTGTTTCCTGATTGGATGATAACAGACTGGGCAGGGGTTCATTGTGGGTATTTTGTGTTAAATGATGTTAGTGAATTCGAACTATTATCAACAAGCCCGGATTGGAAAGTACTAGAATCTGAACTTTACTGAAGAAGTGTAATCCCAAACATGACAATCGACCACTCTCCAGATGGCGACCCGTGACGATCCGGGGTAGAATAGGTCTTCAGCAACCCATGCTTGCCACAAAAGGCAACTATGCTTGTCGTAAAAAGCGACTAACAGGATCGGATGGTCAGGCTCGCTGATTTGGTTGACACATGTCATTGGTTCCCAATTGCGCAGATCGATGCTCATGCTGTTGATCACTGGATTGTCTGGTCCAGACACGATTATTTACAGACCACCGCCATATAGCTGGAATATTGCTGAGTGTGGCGTAAAACTAAACTCACTCACTCACTCTCCAGATGGCATTGGGTACCAACAGTTTATATCCACATCTTTATATGTGTGATCATTGATGAAGATACACAGCATGCTCACCAAGTTGTAAGTTATACCTCAATACATACAAAAAACACCAGATCACCGAACTTACTTTCTCCATATCACAACTCACAAAATGTTTATTTGAAGCCAATTTCTCTCATGAAAAAGTGTCTTAAGAACCTACAAACAACAAAAGATGTAAAAAAAAGAAGTACATCCTACTTTGAGAATTATACTCATGGAAACAAATAAGGGAACACCTGAAAGTACAAGTGTTCCTTTATTCATTTCCATGTTTCTTCACAAGGTATGTATTGCACTGTGTGTGTAATTCTGGAAATGAATATAGGAACACTTGTACTTTCATGTGTTTCTTTATTTGTTTCCATGAGTATATTTCAGTCATATTACAGCATGTGAGCTTGAGCTGGCAGGAAATCATGAAGAGATGCAGGTCGAAAACATTTACCACTTTTGTGATACCCAAATCAACCAACAAACATGATTGGGACTCAAAGGTTTCTACCCAACAGATGCAACTCTGCACAGCGAAGTGCAGCACCTCAGACAACTGGGCCAGTCATGTCCCTAGTCTCCACTTAAATGATGTGACACAAAAGATCCATTCAAACAATGGCTATTTGAATCACTTTACATAATTTAATAGACAACGGTTTTATTCACTCCAAATGCACTGACACAAATGGTACCATCGTCAAGAACATAATCATGGTAAAAAGACGAACATTAATTATTGACATCCTTCAGAAAGAAAACGTAATGCTATTATAGCGAGATGCATTATTGAATCCACTTAATCTTAATAAAGTCTCATAAGACAATAAAAATTCCTTTTCAGCACTGAAAGGCACTCATTAAGAGTGCAGAATAGTTACAATAACAAAGGAATTTATTAATGGCATTCTGCTCCTTTAAATTCCAGTGCAGAAATATCAATGAACTTCAATCATGCATTGAAATTATGTTGTGAAACACTAACAGAATAGAATACAGACTAACAGCCAGACCGTCCTGAACTAAAGTCGTCATTGAATTATGAAATTCACGAATCGATACCATCATGTCTTGCTATGCTTCTGTCTGCTTGAAAACAATCAAAGATGACACCGTGACACGCTATTGATTAGGCTGATCAATTTCGGCAATATCTCTCATTTGATAATTACCATGTTTGATGCAATAAGAATCCTAACAGAGTCGGTCTTTTGATTCCCTTGTTGGTTACAAAATATTCTTAATTGTAATTAGAATTCTTACAAGTAATTAGAATGACTGTCTGTGAATGACTCTGTTTTAAATTAATGAGCAGATTCTGGGGGCATTTCTGGTTTATTGAATACTGTTGATTAAACAGACAAAATCTATTTTTCATCCCTCATCCACAAAGTTGTTTTTAGTGCTGTGAACTTCTAAGAGTCAAAGCACTGCGGTCATTATCTTGAAGGCGTTCTGGTACTCAAGGAACTTGGTACTTTATGAAAACTTATCACACATATTATTTAGAATGATTGATTTATATATAGCCTGTTTCATGCAAACAACAGCAAGTGTGGATATTATTCAGAGGAACTCTCCAACATGCTTAATTCTGCAGTATTACAACTTCAACACTTTAGGTTGTATTTTGAGTGATTCTGTCTAAGCTATACAACATTTTACAACTGAAGCACTACCTTTTGTGTACTGCTATTGTCTTCTAGCAATTTTTTTGGCTTGATTTAACTAAAAGTTTGAGTTAATGGATGAACTAAAAATGAAAAATGAAAAAAAACTTTCTAAGGTTTTTATAGATAAAAACTGCAAAACTAAATGAAAATAATGGTTTCAATGACATGTCAAAGGTATCTTTCCAAAGGCCCTTGTGTCATTGTATAATTATTTCAGTTCCTATGACCAGAGTAAGAGATCCAATAATTCTTGTAATAGTGCATTTCTAACATATACAACAGCATAGAGCATTTCTGATTTTCTTAATATTAATCGATTTGAAAATATTTCAGCGATAAAACAAGGGCCTGTTATCTTCCTCACCAAGAGGAAAAAATACATGTATAACAACAAAAATAAGTGAAACACCTTGGAAAGGAAAACAAACATTCCTCAATTCTCTTTTGTTTTTTATCAGCTCCAAGTTTGGCACTGATGCACCTGGTTTACATACGAGTCCATGAAGTTGTTGTTTCACTGACCATCATCAGCAGGGCTTATTAAGCCTAAATGTAAGTGTTATTTAAATCTATAACTTGTTCCTGTCGATATATGGCTGAAATATTGCCAATGTGACTATAGATTTTTACTCACTCACTCCAACTGATGCTACAACTCCTATGCTGCACTTAACACGTGGACTACGGCACCAGCCCAGTAGTATTCTGCCACAGATCTTCGGACGCTTCAAGTTGCCTGCTGTAACTCTACACATGTTTGCAAACAGGACAAATACTGTATCTGGCGTCCTTATTAATTGATTTCAGCAATTATCAAAAGCCATCCTGTTTTCTCATGTACGGAGCTATGGATTTCCATTGCCAAGGTCTGCTGGGTCACGGCCCAGTAGTGATATCCGATCAATACAACTCCTACCAACTCATGAAGCCATCACATCCACAGATATGGAGAGCAATTAGCTCATGTCATTCTAATCTACTGGTCAGTTCTGACAGAACCAGTGGAAGAGAGGGGTCTGTCTGTTTGTCACATGTGATACAATGATATGAAGGTGTAGACCGGGTAAATGTAACACCATAGTCACATCATATCAGACCCAACAGTAATTGATTTGCAATCTGATAAATATAGCAGCTTCGGTTGTATACTCCCCAGGAAGCTGATCATTGCCTCCCTTCCTAACACACTGGCTTCTCTCTAGAGAGAAAACAACTGCACATCTTGGAGAAGCCCACATGGAAATAATCCACCACTAAATAGCAAAAGTTGAATAATAAACATAAATACTTTCTGTAATCAAAAGAAAGCTGTGCTTAAAGTCCACTTTATTATCAAGACTATAAAAGCAGAGTGAGTGAGTATGGTTTTACGCCGTTTTAGCAATATTCCAGCAATATCACACCAGAAATGGGCTTCACACATTGTACCCATGTGGGGAATCAAACTTCAGCTTGACGAGTGGACGCTTTAACCATTAGGCTACCACACCGCCCCCATAAAAGCAGTGTCCACTGTACAATCCCAACTATATCATAGGCATGTGTTTAATAACTATCCAATAGTGATGATACCAAATGTTTGTGAAATGGCCGGTGTATCCTGCTCCATTGGGGGCACCTGTCACAAACAGGAGTGTATTGTTCACCTGAAACAAATTATTCAAGGTAAAACAAAATTCAAATACCTTTCACAAAACTTGCAGCAAAGCCTGCCTTCTGTACAGATCCATCCGACACAAACTTGACATAGAGCTTGTTGCTGGTCGACTTGATGTCTTCAGGGATCTTGTAGCCACAGTACTTCCCGATGAGGGTCGACGTCTCCTCGTGGCCGTCACGCACCTCTAGATAGTCGTATACACAGTTGTCGTGATTCTCAATCTGAAAAGAAGCAAACAAAAAACTAAACCACACAACAACCTCAAGCATACACTCGATACAGCTGATTGCAATTGCCGCATAACTTTTCACACATTGAACAATTTGACCACTCATCCTAGAAGCTTCCCAGGCGTGTTCCAAAGTGGAAAAGTTATGTTGACATGAAATTGTTACACTACAACAAATACGACTTTAACAAGTCAAAGTATGGCAAGTATGTTTCAATTCCCTGTCCAACGTCAATTTCAAGTAGTCAGTAATGGTAACCTAATGGTTGCTGCAGATAACAGTGACTCCACAGCATTCAAACCTCCATGAGGTGTGTATTACATGCCCCTCTCTCTAAACAGCTTGGTGTTTTGAGGACAAAATGCATACTGTATTCAAGAAAGTATTGTGTATGTGATATGAAAGTGACACCTGCTCTTCTTTTCATATTCTTACATTAACGTACAAGAGAAACTGACAAATCTCAGCTGGGTGTGACCAAAATATATTTGTGCGAACAAAACAAATACAAAATGGCTACAACAAAAGGGCAACCCAAGCTTTGTGTCATCTAAAACAACTGGTCCCAAAACGCCACCTCACTGGTACAAGTCGGGTTTGTCCGATCACTGGTGTACATCAGCATGTGGTCATTACACTTGGATAGTTAAATAAGTGTTTGCAACCCAACTGAGAGTTAGAGCATTGTCGTTCTTTAAGAACCTCTGAAGATATTGTCCCGAGTTATGAAACAAATCACTTTACATGATGACTGACTGGGTTTGTAAAGCAGATCTTGTGAATACATGTACAATGTTTTAATGTGTTTTTATCTTGAGTACAAACAACATCTGCCTATCTGAATTAAATATAAAATGCAAATAGAACCATTCATAAACTACTTCCAGAAATTTAAATTCATGTTGACGTTTCTCAGCAGGACCCCAATCTTCAGTTTTGAATATTAATGTGTTGTAGACGTATTTACCTTTCAAGGATGACATGAACTCAAACAGGAGTCCTGTTATGGTACTATTTTTAACAATTTTGAAGCACAAATACTCTACCCATAAATATGAGCAGGAAATCTCCACATCAAAAACACCAAAATTAAATACTTTTTACGACAGTTAACCGATTGTATATAATTATCAAACATATTTTTGATAAATGTACATTTATCAGTCTCTGGGACCCATAAATTCAGTAAATTCACAAAGACAGTTTTCATTCGAATGTAATCTTTGAATCAGTATAAAAAAATACATGTATAATTAAGGAAAAAACTCAGTACACTGAAAACAGTATGTTTAAAAGAAAGTCCAACACACATTTAATTGGAATTGATAAAATTAAATAAGCCTACTTACGCGAAGTTATTAAATCACATGTCTCTGCACTAAACGATCCCCACATCAAGTCTCATTTCATGATTGGCTGTTCAGCCAAAAATTCAGCTTTAGCGTCTCTTTCATTATTCCCTTAAAACACAGAATTCCCCACACTGATTCCCAATCTCTTATCAAATTCATACTAATCACAACCTTCTAAAAAAGTCAGACGAAACCCTAATATTCTTTACAAGGAATCTCTGGATCCCTGTTGAGGGAAATTAAAGGGCTTGGCTGAAGAAAATGGAGCAAATGAGCACCTTAAAGTCTATTTGATGTGCGGTATTTGAAACAGAACATGGGGTGTTACATAGATAGAGATGTAGAAAAAAAGCCTCCATAATTTCTCTTCTGACAGTAGCTTCATCCTAAACACGCTGATGAGAAAAAGGAACCAGAAGATTGAAAGCTTATGCAGAAAATGAAGTAATCATAGCATGTTGTGCTAAGAAAATTAAATTCAGGGCTGTGTCAAACAAGGCAAATGATTTCCCATCTTTGGACGACATGATTACTGGTGCAGGTTTCAGTTTTTCTTGCTTACAAATTAACTGCTGTGTTGTGTTAAAGCTTGTACAGGTGAGTGAGTTTAGTTTTATGCCACTTTTAGCAATATTCCAGCAATATCACAAATTAACTGCTGTGTTGTGTTAAAGCTTGTACAGGTGAGTGAGTTTAGTTTTATGACACTTTTAGCAGTATTCCAGCAATATTTTAGTTTTATGCCACTTTTAGCAATATTCCAGCAATATCACGGCGGGGGACACCACAAATGGGCTTTACACAGTGTACCCATGTGGGGAATCGAACCGGGTCCTCGGCATGAAGCGCCAACGCTCTAACCGCTAGACTACCCCACCGCCCTGTACAGGTGAGTATGGTGGTGTGCTGCTTTAGGAAATAGGGGTGGTGACGTAGTATAAAGGTTAAAGCGTTGGCTCGTCACGCTGAAGGCGCTGGTTTGATTCTCCACATGGGTACAATGTGTGAAGCTAATTTGTGGTGTCCCCCACCGTGATATTGCTGGAATATTGCTAAAACGGTGTAAAACAATACTCACTCACTCACTTTAGGAAATATACCAGCACTATCGTTGCATTGTACACCAGAAGAAGGCTTAGACATTGTAAAGATGTGGTGAATCACACCCATCTGTGTAACTAACACTTTAACAGCACAGCTGCCCCACTGCCCAAAATTTGTACAAATCAAATCAAATCTGTCTTTCTGTTCCTTCATGTCCTTCAAAGATGTGAGTAAACCCGGTCTCCCATCTTGAATATAGGCACGAAAATTATTTTTGTCCTTGACCTTTGATTTTGCTTCACCTTGGCCTTTGACATTCAAGACCCTCTGTGAAATAAACTTAAACAATGACCATCTGACAACTGACCCTGTGGATCTGCATGAATCCTACAATAACTTACACCAGAAGTAAAGGTTTCCCCATGGACCAGTTGATGAGGTGCACTGAAGTCTACACATCAAGTATGCACCACGTCACATTCCACCACACTCATACACCTACTGTCTGTCTTCAAGTGTTTTGTTCACACAGATATATTTTGATGTTTGTTTTGTGGGTACATCAGACTCTGCTTCATAATCACAAACTGAGCACAGCTACTTGTGCACAGTACATGATACATTGCTTTGATTTTCCCAATATAGAATCAATGTGCCCGGAATGACATCAATGTTATAGTCATACCATCACAGACCTATCCATCTATTTGTGTGATGGAAATATCAACATCAATCTGCAACAAAATGTACAAAATATTCTAAATCATATTGACCTTCTCTACTGAAGGGTCCTCAAAATGAACACTAAAACCTAAATTGTGTTTGAATCAAGTGTTAAATGAAAGTCATATTTGATGTACCAGTTTTATTAGCACTGAAACAGTAGCAAACAGAGCCTTATGATGTGGCTGCTTGATTGGTTACTAAGACGAAATTCATCATTCTACAATGTTTCACTTGGGAATTAGGGAGGCTACAGCATCTTACAATGTGTCTGCTCTATTGGTTACTTTGATTTAAAAAACATCACCAATCTATGGTGTTTCACTTCAGAATTAAGGAGGCTAGAGAACCTTACGATGTGGCTGCGTTATTGGTTACTAAGTGTTAAAGAACTGTACCAATCTATGGTGTTTCCCTTCAGAATTAAGGAGGCTAGAGAACCTTACGATGTGGCTGCGTTATTGGTTACTAAGTGTTAACAAGAAGACAAAGTCATCAATATCCCCCGCAATGGCAAAATACTCTTCATGATTATGTCTACGAGTTATGATTATGTCAAATATTTAGGTGTGTACATAGAAAAGTGGAAGGAGAGTATTGAAAGGGTTTAAAAGTTCTGCTCCAGAAAGGAGCACTATCACCAATTTCAGTGTAAGTCAAACTTGTTGCCATGGAAATGCCAAAAATATTTTATTCAGAATTCCAAAACTACCAAAAGGCACCAGTACACCACCAGATCTATCTATGTGCCAAGTTTGGTGAAGAAATATTGAATGGTGTTAGAGTTCTGCTTCGGAAAAGAGCACAACCACCAATTTCAGTCTAAGTCAAACTTGTTGCCATGGAAACGCCAAAAATATTTGATTTAGAATTCCAAAACTACCAAAAGGCACCAGTACACCACCAGATCAATCTATGTGCCATGTTTGGTGTGACATATTGAGCGGTTTTAGAGTTCTGCTCGAGGAAAAGAGCACTACCACCAATTTCAGTCTAAGTCGAACTTGTGCCATGGAAACGCCAAAAATATTTGATTCAGAATTCCAAAACTACCAAAAGGCACCAGTACACCACCAGATCAATCTATGTGCCATGTTTGGCGACGACATATTGAACGGTTTTACAGTTCTGCTCCGGAAAAGAGCACTACCACCAATTTCAGGCTAAGTCGAACTTGTTGCCATGGAAACGCCAAAAATATTTTAATTCAGAATTCCAAAACTACCAAAAGGCACCACTACACCACCAGATCTATCTATGTGCCAAGTTTGGTGAAGACATATTGAACGGTTTTAGAGTTCTGCTCCGGAAAAGAGCGCTACCACCAATTTCAGTCTAAGTCGAACTTGTGCCATGGAAACGCCAAAAATATTTTATTCAGAATTCCAAAACTACCAAAAGGCACCACAACACCACCAGATCCATGTATGTGCCAAGTTTGGTGAAGAAATATTGAACGGTTTTAGAGTTCTGCTCCGGAAAAGACAAATGTGCACTCACGGACGGACGGACGGACGGAGTCCATTTTAATACCCCCCGAAAAACGCGTTGCGGGGGATAAAAAACTGTACTAATCTATGGTGTTTCACTTCAGAATTAAGGAGGCTAGAGAACCTTACGATGTGGCTGTGTTATTGGTTACTAAGTGTTAAAGAACTGTACCGATCTATGGTGTTTCACTTCAGAATTAAGGAGGCTAGAGAACCTTACGATGTGGCTGCATTATTGGTTACTAAGTGTTAAAGAACTGTACCATTCTATGGTGTTTCACTTCAGAATTAAGGAGGCTAGAGAACCTTACGAGTGGCTGCGTTATTGGTTACTAAGTGTTAAAGAACTTTACTAATTTATGATGTTTCACTTTAGAATTAAGGAGGCAACGGAACTCTACCAAAATGTAATCAGCTGTAGCTAAGTAATATATATAAAGCGTATGTCTAGAGAACCCAGTGCTGTGTAGGTATTCTACATCCAGAACCATTGAACAGTATGTTACCAGAATTATTAGGTCTTTGTGGAAAACAGATGTGGTACAAATACTCTTCCTTAATGAACAAATAGTATCACCCCAGTAACAGCTCTCTTTGCATGGAGGTTAGTTTACCATTTCAGTATGAGCCACACATACAGGGATTCATCCAGGGCTCCAAACTAAGCGACCTTGAGAGGAAAAACTGGGAAAAGTCATTACGTTTTCTAATCTCAAGTTTATCTTTTCCTAAATTCAGAAGTATTTTAACATTAAATATTCACACTGCAATAAATGCAGTTATGTCAAACTAAGCATTAAGGCGTCTTCTCCTCCAGTGATTCTGTTATCAGTGATATATAAATCACCTCACAAACCCATAATATGAGTTATAACCATAACAGCTTCAACAGGGAAACATTTAATTCAAATTCAGGAATTTTTACTGACATTTGGTGCAGACATGGGGATAATTACTGGCCTCTGAGCAGACATAGAAAAATCCCTGACATATAATTTCCAAATTTTTTATAGTACTTAATCACTTCCTCTTCAGAATACTGTCTCATCGAGCTAATGTCTAAAATATTTTCCGAGGGGTTTGATTTGTTACGTATTGTTCAAAATTAAGCATTAAAGTCAAGAGTTCTTGTCTTAACACTATAATGTAAGATTTATAGGGTCCCCTGACTCATAAATAAGAGCAGAAAGGCACCAGAACCCTTGAAGCCCTTAATAGTTCTTATAACTGTATGTCATACATGTACAAGAGATTTCAATACACTTGAACAAAATGCTGATGGGCCTTATTCTTAAATAAATATACATAAAAATTTAAAATTACAAAAATGCATATCATCTTTACAGTGTTCTAATAATAGCACTCAACTAGGTCACTAGAACTCAGTTTGAACCCGATATTGAACTCTAATTTATTTCCCTCAGTTGAGCAGCTTTCAAATTACATTTCACTGCTGGAACCTGATTTTGTTAAAAGTGCATGATTTATGCACTATTGTTCTGGGTCCGAACTGAGAGATTACAATTAATTTACTCATCAAGGAATCTAGTCTGATCATGGTCTAAAATAACCCAAAAAAATACAATCAAATTCTCAAGTGGAAAATCAAAAAGCTTGATAACGAGGTGGCTTAATAGAAAATCAATAGAACTTGGGTATAAAACATGATTTTCAATAGCAATGAACTTAACAGAATGTCCATAAAAGTGAATAATTAATGGACTCGTTAGATCGCAACAAAAGTGAACTACCATCACGTGTGATCCAATCTATTGTAAACCCACAGCATAAGTTTGGAGTAAAAACAAACAGACCAAATTGAGTTCCTGCTAACAAGGGCATCTTTCAAAACAGCAACGATGTAGATACACCGGGGAAATGGTGGTGATTTTCAGTCTACATGGATAACTTAAGTTTAACAGGTACACTTCTCTTTGAAATGATTAATCAATATGACATATTTGAACTGCTATTCACCACGAGAAGATTGGGTAGGATAACCTGACACCTAAGTAGCTCCCAATCATTGAGGTTACTTCGGCTGATGCTCATAGCTTTCGATCGACTTTCACGATGGACATATTTTCATGTCAGTTCTTTTCACCGCGTTCTTCACAAATGTCAATGGATCGTTCTTTGATGTCTGTATCGATACAACAATGACATGTACTGATGCTTGTTTCATCTTCAAGCTGTTCGATAATGATTGACGAACATAAACAAACCATCCCGAACATCCACATCGTCCTACATAAGTCAACATGGGAGTGACAATGCCACGAGTTGTTTTTCTTGAAACATGCGTATATTTCATGAAAACACTGCTTACTTGGTCGTGACAGACACTTATTTACGGTTATTTGAATTGGGTTGAACACCACTTTGATGATTTTCATGATAACAAACCACTATGTCTACTTAGGAAGGCAAATTTCTAGACATATTTTGAACCTTTCAGAAATTTACTCACATGTCATCTCACACTAGGTGTTCATAATTTCCTTACGATATGCAATAAATTTGTACACCCATGGCTTCAGACTGTTGGCTATTTTCAAACAATGATAAAATTAATTCTGCCAGAATTCCTGTTACAGCTGACTATTTTACATCACCAAAAGTGTGTCACATGATGCACGAACTCACATCACAAATACACGTTTATATGCCTAAGTTACAATATACTATTTGCATTATTCACATGATACTTGCATTGTATCAGAAAGTGAATGAGGAAGTGAGTGAGTAAGACTTTACGCTGCTTTTAGCAGTATTCCAGCAGTATCACAGCAGGGACACCAGAAATGGGCTTCATCCATTGTACCTATTTGGAGAGTCGAAACCAGGTTGTTGGCATGACAACCAAACACTTTAACCACTAGGCTAACCCCACCCCGAATCTGTAAATAGAGATCTCTGTCGACATAAAAACATGGACACTGAAAAAACTACACTTGGTCTTTACAGTATTTTGGGTTTTTTTTAAATGAATGATTGTATGCAAGTCACTCCAAAACAGCTGGGGGTCATATTCAATCATCACAGCCCTCCCCCACCACACATACACCCCCAGGTAGGATGACACTAGGATTGAGGTCAGGCAGAGTTTGATATATCCATTCATTCCTACAGACTCCCTATCCTACCTCTGTTATGATAACACATAGCCCCAACCCATCTTGCTAAATGTTTTAACAAGCATGGGGTACAGACGACTGTTCTGCCCTGATCTATGCACCTAAGATCTGCTGATATGCATCAACAAAGTCAGTGAGTCAGACCACTTAGTCCTAATGTTATATGAGCATCACTTTGTGGAAGTGCATAAACTAGAGTTGTCTTTTCCTGACCTCAAATGACTGGAATTTGAGAGCAACGGAGAAGGTTTCTGGGACTGTGATCAGACCACTTAGTCCTAATGTTATATGAGCATCACTTTGTGGAAGTGCATAAACTAGAGTTGTCTTTTCCTGACCTCAAATGACTGGAACTTGAGAGCAACGGAGAAGGTTTCTGGGACTGTGATCTTCCAGACACATTCCTTATTTGGCCGATAGTCATCAGGATAGTTGGGACTGGTGAGATGGCCCTCGTAGTCACGGACAATCTCTCCACCACAGATAGCTGAAAGCAGAAAAATTGGCCATTAGTTTTGAAATATACACATGGAAAAATGTAATGGAACACCGAAATATTTTTCATAACATCAATATGTTGACATTAACCGTACCAAAGGACTTATCCATACCTCAGTTTTTAACTTACTGTTGGAATAAATTGACTCAAAGAGTAATCAAATAGCAAATCTAAATACAAAAGAACGAAAAACTGTAGTTTATTCAGAAAAGACATTGTATTCCATTGTTGATGGAGATATTGTTCCAGTACATCAAGATTTTGTACTGGAGGATCTCTCTGTGTATTCTGTGACCAATAATGAACATACTCTATAGGATTCACATCTGGACTCCTTGGGCGGAGCAAAGTAGAGTTGCTACTGCCTCGTAATGTAAGAAATCACCAATGGCAAATGTGTATGCATGATGTCTGATCGTCACAAGGTTAAGTTTTCAGTCATCTGATAGGCAGCCCCACACCATTACTGAACCCCCGCCAAAAGGTCCTTCACCATGATATTCCGATGTGCATATCAGCACAATAAACATTTGTCCGACAGTGGACTGTTCACCTGATCATATATTCCCGTGACATTGACCTTGACACTTAATTCTGAGATGTTGAAGGTGTCTTTGCTTACCTTCATACTCTGCCAGGAAAGCCCTTGCCCTCTTTCTTGCTGCTCTTGTACTCAATCCACATTCTGGTGTCCGTGGAAACAAGTGTATCTGGCACCTGGTCGCCACAGAAGCGACCTGCAACACATAAACAGACGTCACTCATCAGCATTCTTTGAAATATGCTGTCAAATACTCAAACTGATACTGATGTAGAGAATTTCTTCAAAGCGAGTGTTGAGGGAAGATCCCCTTTGCTGAGACAACTGTAATACTTTGCAATTATTGAACTAAATTTCAATTATTGACTTTACCTTGAAATTATCATTGTAAATAGAGAGTGCCAGACTAGCACTCAATTTCTGAAAATGTGTTAGTTTGATAGAAACAGCAACTACATCGAAATTGATAAATTCCTGTGGAAAATCTAGACTTGCTTCAAGTTGAGATATAACATTGCAGAAGAGTGATGCAGAAGGGAAAACGAAATACGGCTGAGGGTCTGTGATAAATTAGAAAAAAGTTGAAGCATCTATGTATGTTTTATCTAAGATTCTTGAATTAGCATAGGTGAGTGAGTTAAAATTTAAAGTCACATCGGCAATATTTCAGCCATATCGTGATGAATTAGCATAAGGCATCACATGTAATTTGTATTGAAGTTGCTGCTGCCGTAAGAGTCTTCAGCCAAGGTAAAATATATAGGCACCAGGGGTGGAAATAACTTTAAAATTGATAGTTACTCCAGTACAGTGGCACATGTAAAGTCACTTGCCCTGATAATTTTCCCACTATACCGACCGTTTTCTTGCTGATTTTTTAAATAAACAACATAATTAACATTGGAAAGTCAACTGGACACCGGTACAGTGTGATATACAAATTTGCTTGCCCGACAGAAAAAAACACTGGACTCGGACGTCGGGCAATGGGTTATTTCCACCCACGGCACAGATGTTTGGATGCTTTTACGTTTAAACGGCAGTGATCAGCTGTTTGATAATGGTCAGTGGATTCCAGATGGACGAAAATAGAAAAGTTATCCTTCCTTGCTGTAACTTTACCACCACCACTTTGCTTACATGGTTCTGTCAGGTTTCTGCTCACAGATGAAAAAGCCAAGGAAAACAAATGCCTATTGATCTGTCATTATGCAGTAATTTGATGAATAGATGAATAGCATAGTAATTTCCTTAATGCCTAGCTCTCAGTTTGAGAAGGCCACAACTCACCAAGCAATGAAGACTTGACATAGTAGCCATCACGGACTTCCAGATAATCCTTCTCACAGTTGAAGGACTTGGGGATGTCCAGCTTGGTGATGTTGAGGACAATCTTCTCTCCGTGTGTAGCAGAGATCCTCCACTGGCACAGGTTGCTCTTGGATGTGACAGGATTATGGGAGAACTTGCCGCTGGATTCTTGTAATGTGCGACCACACTCTGCCAGACAGAGGACAACATGGACGTGTAACAACTATTACAATATAACCATGATTTGAGTGAGTGAGGAGTCTGGTTTTACGCCGGACTCAGCAATATTCCAGCTCTATGGCAGCGGTCTGTAAATAATCGATTCTGGACCAGACAATCCAGTGATCAAAAGCATGAGCATTGATCTACACAAATGGGATACGATGACATGTGTCAACCAAGTCAGTGAGCCTGACCACCCGATCCCGTTAGTCGCCTATTACAACGACAAGCATGGGTTACTGAAGATCAATTCTAACCCGTATCTTCGTGTAACTATAATTTGAATGAAAACATCACATATTTTATTTAAACTTGGAGCAACTTCTTAAGGGTAATCAATCATCAAGATTAAATGTGGGTGTGGGTAAATGTGAGTGTGTGTATCAACATGGATGTGGGTGTGGGTGTGGGTGTGGGTGTGGGTGTGGGTGTGTGTGTGGTGGGTGTGTGGGTGTGGGTGTGGGTGTGGGTGTGGGTGTGTGAGGGTGGGGAGGTGTGGGTGTGGGTGTGGGTGGTGTGTGTGTGTGGTGTGTGGGGTGTGAGGTGTGGGTGTGTGTTGGGGTGTGGGTGAGGGTGTGTGTGTGTGTGTGGGTGTGGGTGTGGGTGAGGGGTGGGGTGGGTGTGGGTGTGGGTGTGGGTGTGTGTGGTGAGGGTGATTGCTGTGATTGCTGTGAATTCTATTAGTACAGATCAAATCTCATGGCTTTTATATTTAACCAAACTGAAAAACAGCCAGAGGACTTTTTCTTCAGTCAAAATTCACACTTTGTTTTTTAAATTATTTTTTGTCAGTTTGTCTTTTTTACCAGCTCAAAAGAGACACCAGTATGTATGATCTAAATTAACTTGTAAACCTCCCACTATTTCCGGTCTTCTCCTACCGCTGTGTTTATCGCTATACAATCTACAAACTGTCAAATTTTCATGCACACTTAACAGGGGTCCAAGTGCACTGGTTGCCTGACATGAATTTCCTGCTGTTTGACTTGAATAAACTTGAAAATTTAACATCACTTAAAATACAAACACCATAAACAGTTGAATATTTTTTAAAAAACAAGTGGGAGGACTGTCTTATTTAAACAGCCCTGATCTACTGTCTGGCTGCTTGTGATACGATAACACTATTGGACACTGCACAAACAAGCTGAGGGTTAGGGCAGCATAAATCGTGTTCAGGCATCACATGTGCTGCTTCGTCAATATCAAGCAGCACATGCATTTGTCAATGTCACTATATATACAGGATCTAACATGCACCAAATCATGATTCAGCTATTTAAAATTTTACAAAAAAAATAAAATCCAACACTGACTCTTTTCACATGTCATGAACTTGTGAATGAAATGAAATGTTTTTTATAAGCATAAATGCATATTTACCAACACTATGTGGAATAATTGTGAAAAATATATTAAGGCTAGATCAACATTTGAAGAAGAAATCTTTAAGTGCAGGAGTTTTACCCATTATTCAGGTTTATTGACATTACATTTATTTATGAAATAGGGTTCTTACACCAGGAGTGCGACTTCAAGTTCACTAACAAATAGTCAATTATACTGTTTTCAGTCAGTGGAAAAAAGCACCATTATTTGAGGCTTATTCATCACATTTGCAGATGGTTTGTGAACCCTGTATTGTATTGCATGGGTTCATTATCTGCACTCTAACACCTGCCTTTAACAATGGTGCCATTCATACAACGATATAATGATATGCAGGGAACTTGCACGTATATTTCAACTTGTCTATTTCCTTTTATCTGTCTAAACCATAAGCAATTTTTTTATTGAATATGTGTTTATGTGTCGAGGAATATTACTTCAGATGCTATCTCTTTATCTATCCTGAATAGAGTTGCTGTGGTATAAACAGAGACAGCATTTGCTGAAAAACAGCCATTTCAAGTTATCTTGTTTTATGCCAAGTCTATGCTACGTTAAGCTGAAATCTACTTGGAAACATTGCTCCAGTTGTCGCCAAGGGACCACCCATGACTATTAAAAATTGTTTTATTGCCATTTTATCCAACATATTTTAATGTGTACAAAATACATTTTGCTATATTTAAATAAAACATTTACATAAAAATTGCAGGGACTTGTATAATAATGTTTGACAATTTTTGGGATGATAAACGAGAAACGACACACAAAGTCTTTTTGATATAGGAGATACTAATGGTGTGAGTATACGTACTTGGACATCTGTAGAGCTTGTTGGCTTGTCGGATATCCCCAGGACTGAGTCGTACTCTCTGTCCAATCTCCGGCCGCACCAGCACACCTGGCTTTCTGCTCGGCAATATCGTGTCCAGGTACGTGTTGCGGGCAAATGTGTTGCGAGCGTAGTGCATGATGCTGCCATAGTCGTACTCCTCGCCGAGAGAGTTCACCTCACTCGGTGTCAGCTTGTTGAAGTTGTATTCCTGGCCTGTAACATAACAGACACCATTGTTACTCGGAACACTTAGACGACACTTTATAAAGATCCCTGAGGCTGATTACACAGGTTTGTACAATTACAGGTGTATTATAATGGTTGCTTAACTTGGCTGTTGTTGAAGTTGGTTACATCTGACTGCATCTTTCAGAGTGTCAGGCTCTTGTTGGTCAAGAAAATAATTAAATCTAATAACATGCCACTCTGCAATATTCCACTTTTATGACAGCTGTCTGTAAATAAATAAAGTCTGAACTCAGCATACCAGTGATTGATATCATGAGCATCTATGGCCACCCTCATCTCATATTATTCGCAAATGGAAAATAGCAAGTAAATACCTATCTTGGGTAAAGAATCTAAGAGTAAAGCAAAGATGTAAAGTGAAAGTGTGTAAAGTAATGTAAAGAATCTGAAATATTTATCCCGTTATCTGAAGAACATCGAAAGGATGAGATGGTAACCTTCTAGTACCTCTCAGCCTGGTTGTATTCTCCCCAGGGAGATGGGCAAGGACACTGAGTGCACACAGATTCATTGACCTGGGTAATAATTCTCAGTGTGTTTTGAGCATGCTGTCCAGCATGGAAAAGCACCATACAAATGGACCAGTAAAAGACATGAAATAAGTAAAGCATAAACCTGAACCCAAGAGAAACCCATCAATGTAATCCTTTCAGAAACTTTGTTGGTTATTGTCATTACATGTCCAGAATATACCAAACAATGGGACTCCACCCCAAAATGTACTAGAATTTGTACTGAAGAAAGCATGATCCCATATATATCACTTGTTACACACTAAAAAAGAGGACTTGTAGCTGAACTGAAGCATTGGGAATTGGTCCAGAGTTATAGCTCTCAGATACCATAGGCAATAAGGGCAGCCATCACTGGACTGAAGTCAGAAATTTGGTTGTGTTTGGCCACTGGACTAGTATGAATTTTGATGGCTGTAATCATGTCCGGTGTTTAGCACAGTCAATATACAATCAGTAAGTAATCTCTGCTAAATCAGAGTCGATTATACAATTCTGACCACATCGTGAGTATTTGTTTGTTTGACTTCATACTCATCAGTATAACAGCTGCATGATTCCGTCTTTAAACAATCAAGTCTGGACCAGACAATCCAGTGATTGACACCATGACAAAGCTGTCTACAAGCATTACAGAGAAAACCAGCGCATACAATCACATCCACCGATGGTTTCGAGGTGCACATCACTGTAATGGAGGTGCATAAACTGTTACCACGTACCTGGCATGATGTGATTATAGTTGATCTGTACATGATTGTCGCGATCGGGACGTGTGTGTTCATGCCAGAACCCGATCACGTGACCAAGCTCATGAACAACAATACCAAACTTGTCACAGTTCTTGCCTATGGATATAGCTTGTGGGCCATTGCCACGCTTTCCCACGAAGGAACAACATCTGGAATAGAAATCATCATCATCATCATCATCATCATCACCATCACCACCACCATGACATTATCATCATTATTATCATCATCATCATCATCATTGTTATTATAATTCCCACCACAGATGGAAAACCAATACCACTGTTTCTCATACTCCTCCATCAGATGCATAGGCCTGATCATCCAAGGCAATCCAATTTGACGTGCAGAGTTGCTTCCCTTTGCCATGCAAGAAAGCTATGATCATGGGTTTAGATCCCTGTTACCCTGGTCATCATGTTTCTAGGTTTGTCAGCACCACACCCATTCTTGCAGGATCCACCAAAGTGGTATTTGTCTAAGACCCCCATATATTGGTCCTTCCTCCCCCTTTCAGCTCCTCATTATTTCCACCTCATCACCTGAGAAGACATCGTCACCACTGCCATTCCAATTGAATTATTTAACTGCTCCTTTGAAATCTCAGATGATACGTGTATAGAAGAGAAACCAGCAGACCTTATAATATTGATAACCCTAACAGAATAATAGATATCCTGAAGTACTTTGTATTGGAATGTTAATATGTACATTTTCTTAACCTCGGCCCGGAAAAGGTCACAGCATTCCAAAGCATCTACGGCCATATCCTCAGGAAGCAGTACAGTCAGGACAAACATGTTGTGTGTGGACATTGTCCTGCTCTGTAGCAAGTAGAGATCAGTCAGGACAAACATGTTGTGTGTGGACATTGTCCTGCTCTGTAGCAAGTAGAGATCAGTCAGGACAAACATGTTGTGTGTGGACATTGTCCTGCTCTGTAGCAAGTAGAGATCAGTCAGGACAAACATGTTGTGTGTGGACATTGTCCTGCTCTGTAGCAAGTAGAGATCAGTCAGGACAAACATGTTGTGTGTGGACATTGTCCTGCTCTGTAGCAAGTACAGATCAGTCAGGACAAACATGTTGTGTGTGGACATTGTCCTGCTCTGTAGCAAGTAGAGATCAGTCAGGACAACACATGTTGTGTGTGGACATTGTCCTGCTCTGTAGCAAGTAGAGATCAGTCAGGACAAACATGTTGTGTGTGGACATTGTCCTGCTCTGTAGCAAGTAGAGATCAGTCAGGACAAACATGTTGTGTGTGGACATTGTCCTGCTCTGTAGCAAGTAGAGATCAGTCAGGACAAACATGTTGTGTGTGGACATTGTCCTGCTCTGTAGCAAGTAGAGATCAGTCAGGACAAACATGTTGTGTGTGGACATTGTCCTGCTCTGTAGCAAGTAGAGATCAGTCAGGACAAACATGTTGTGTGTGGACATTGTCCTGCTCTGTGCTAGAGATCTGTAGACAAAAGTGTGGAGATTCTAATACTCTGTAGCAAGTAGAGATTCTAATACAGCATATATAGAGGATATTATATGAGTGCCCATGTCATATGACACGAATGCCCAAATGTTGGTATTTCCCGAGCAAAGCGAGGGATATACCGATATATAGGCAGAGTGTCGTAAACATAGTATGATACGGGCACGAATATAATATTCTATTTATTACCGAAGTCGTCAAATTGAGGAAAATGAACCCAAATCTACTTTCAAACATTAGGCTGGCTACCCGCCGTCGCTGAATGTAGAACGCAATGTCATACAAGTAACGTGACGTAATAGCATTGTTCATGACGTCACCATGACAAAGTGATATTTTGCCCTAGGGCATCGTTTGAAATATATGAACCCCGATGTTTTCGCCCTCATAGGTAATAAATTGACATATATGATCTTAGTTCAGTCAGTATGGTCTCAGAGCACTTTAGTAATAGTTTAGCCATATCATGGTGGGGAAACAGGTCTGTGTGCCTTGTTCCAATATTGGGTATTGTCTCCCTGTATTGACTAGTTTAATTGTCTCACATTCCCTGAATCACAGTAGTATACTGTCCAGCCCTTACTGTAACGAGTTTAGACTTTCCAGGTGTTCACATCTCAAGTGGGCTCTTTTTCAATTTAAATACATCTGCTTCTTTCCATTACAATTATGTATTTTCTGAGTAATCATTTGTCTGGCGATCAAACAATGTCTTCAGTTTAACAAAGCTCTAACCACCACTCTCTGCACTTTGGAAGTTTATGATATATCACAAACTTTAGTTTGATTCTTTTGAAATTTTGTTATATCACAAAATAATTTAACCCTCCCAAAATTACATAAACCGCTCAGTAAACATTACATCCATGCTTATATCCCTTTCACAAAACATCAAAGCGGAAACCTTATGGGACAGCAGCCCTCCTTTCCCTTCCTAAATCTGTATCTGCGGAGGAACAACAACCCCAGAGAACAAATGCTGGTATAATTGGCAGTAAATTCAATGAGACAATAAACAAGCTCATTATGTGAGCCAGAAAGAGTATACAAACCTCTGCCTCCAAACACTGACCCTGGCTAATTTGTCTCTTATAGTTTACAGCTCCAGCAAACCAGCTCAGCTTCAAGACAGACTAATTGACTTCATATGTGGTCATCGATAGGGGAGATGCGAGGGGGATGCGAGGGGGGTGTGAGGGGAGGGGGATAAGCTTCAAGACAATTAGTTTCTTTGGCACATTTATTATGGCAGGAACAAAATATATCCTAGCCTTCCTTCCATATGTATTTGTTCTACTAAGTTGTTTGTAGTGTTACAAAATGTCCCTTTTGCAGAATATCTGTTGAGAAAAATAAATAATGATTCATTCTTGTAAATACTAAACTTGAAACTATTCATCAGTGAGTGCTTTTCACTATTCCCCTTTCATCACTAACAATATGCTACACAGAGTGATATACACAAAGTGGAAGGCATTTCACGCCACTTTCAACTGCAGAATTTCACAAGCATTGGGCATGCCAGCTTCTTGTAGGGGAAAGCCCCAAATAACACAAATCATAAACATTTACCTCTTTTGTGGAACCACTGAGACCGATGCTCACGAAACAATGACAATAATCATGACAAATCTAGGATTCAAATCAACACCAAACAGATGACTAGAGAATTCTGAACAGCCAATTTCAACCACAAACAGAGCCACCAAGAGTCATGAGGATCCTTCTGAGTTGAGTCATGAGGAGTTGAGTTGAGTTGAGTTGAGTTGAGTTGAGGTGAGGTGAGGTGAGGTGAGGTGAGGTGAGGTGAGGTGAGATTTGGCTTAAGATCACAATTAAGCTTAATGCATTTATATATTGACATGGGTGCACATTGTTTGTTTGTTTATCCCCACACTGAGTAATATTCCAGCTTTTATGACAGCAGTCTGTAAATATACAAGTCTGGACCACACAATCCAGTGATCAACATCAAGAGCATCGATCTTCACAATTGGGATAAAATGACAAGTGTCCACCAAGTCAGCAGACAGCAATGTTTGTATTAGTTCCTACTATTGCCAGTTTTACAGAGCTAGCCCACTGAGAAACCATGCCCTACTTTAACATGGCTACACCATCACATACATTACACTGACACTAACCTGATCAGTTTCTGTGATATGCTGACTCAGCACCAGGCAGGGTAACAACAATTACCTTTTAACATGGTATGATACAATGGAGGATCAAACCACCAAAATCCAACTCTTTTAGCAGATGCTCTACCCACTATGCCATGGTAGTGGTTCCAGCATCCTGGAGATGGAGAAAGCAAGGTACTCACCCACAAGAACGTTCTGTGAACTTAATGTAGTCCTGGTCCTCTGCCCTTTTCTCTATGAAGGTGATGCACGTGTAGTTCTCCCAGTGTCGCATGGCCAGCTTGAACAATGCCTTGTTGGCACCTACACAAACAACAAAATGTTAGTTTACCCGGATTTATCTATTACTTTGATCTGCTGTAAGTGCCAGGGAGGGAACTCGGGTAAAACCAGCAGAGTTAATAGGAATTAGTGGCACCATGGAAAATCATACCTTCATTCCTCACAGGTATTATATCATTGTGATGTACAACTAGGTATTGTAAGTCCTGTCAGACAAACATAAGTCACTCTGCAAAACAAAGCTTCTGGTATTGAAAAACTCATGTTTGGAACCATCCAGGATCAATGGGGACACTGTCCAAGTTTGAAAGGAATCCAGCATAAGTCTTGAATGATAATTAAGTTCAAATTGCCTCAGCCTGAAATAAAAGATTGCTCTGGGTTGCTTTTTTGAGTTTATTATCCCAAATATAATGTTTGTTCCTAATACACCATCCTAAAGCACATTCACATGATCACCTCTATTTCTTGGATTCAATGCGAGTCTCTGACAACAGTAAACCTACTTCATGCTGGAACACTGGAGCCCAAGCTTACATAGCACTTAGGAATGACGTTATCAAGGGAATTATTTACTGTTTCTATTTGAAAATATGCCTATTATTCCCTAGAATGTATGCCATATAGAATCTAGAACTTATTTGGCCACTAAGTCAACCTGACAACAGTTTTCACATGTTTTATTCCATTTCCAACAGTCCAGCAGATAATCTACATCACCTGATCACACTAAACGTGATAGATCTCCCTGCTATGGATATTTGACATTTGGTTGACTTCTCTAAACTAGACTTACCAGTCTCTGAAAATATATAATTTTCATAGAAACAAAGACCTTCATTATATGAGAAGGAGCCCCAGTGAGGTGGGAGATGAGAACCTGAGGAGAATCTGCACTTGCTTCATTTAGGGATTTTGAATTACTGGGTGGAATGGAACATAATGATTTAGAAACTCTGAGAGACTGCTCTTGTTGAGGCAAACTCCAAATGCCAAACATGGAACACACATAAGGACGTGCATGTGTATGATCTCACAGAGTCATGTATGAAAAATATCAGGGGTGGAAATAACCCATTGCCCGACGTCCGAGTCCAGTGTTTTTTTCTTTCGGGCAAGCAAATTTGTATATCACACTGTACCGGTGTCCAGTTGACTTTCCATTGTTAATTATGTTGCTTATTTTTAAAAATCAACAAGAAAAAAGCCGGTATAGAGGAAATATTATCAGGGCAAGTGATTTTACATGTGCCACTGTACCTGAGTACACTAGCAATTTTAAAGTTATTTTCACCCCTGAATATATTTTTTAAATTTTTACAGATATTTGTTAAATTTCTAAAAGCTCTGCACAGGAAATATTCTATATGAACATTCAGAGTGGAAACATCGTGGGAAGTCAGAGGCAAATTTATGTGTTGGAACCATTACCAGTTGAAACGTCAAGATTGATAAGTGACTTATCCATGAATACTCAAGTTGAGAACGTGTTGTTAAATTCTTCACAGTGTTATTGTCTGAGAGAATACTTCACAATAAAATCCTTGGGCTACGAAGATTTCTCTGAACATACTACATGCAATTTGATCTGCATTTCGTGCATGAAATATTCATGCAATGCTACGTTTTCAGCATATACTTCTTGTGAGAACATTTTTATGAGTAGTTTTGAAACCTGATACTAGTATTCTGTAAAACAAGCCTTGTTATTTTAGAGTTGACACACTCGGAAGAAATTATGCAAATAATGAAAGACATTTCCTCAGATATAATTTTATTAACTTCTGTCACATTTTCTTGAATGCTGAAATTTTGTTGATGAGATATATGCAAACAGTGTTTTCTAGGCAAGTAAATTCCTGAATTTGACACACATATCCCACTGTGCTACCAACTTGTGAGAAAATGGCAGTGTAATACTTCAATTCTATATTTAAAAACTCCATACATCAAAAATTATAACACACTAATTAGTACCAAAGAAACAAGAATTGGCAGTGCTGGAAATTGACATCAGATTTTTCTATAAAGTAAAACAAACTTGCAATGTTATTTCACCACTTAACCATGCCTATCATTTCTGTAAATACAAGACCTTTTTGCAGAGAGCTTCCTATTTTCTGAAACGTAATTCCTTTTAAACCTGAACAGTTTACATTTTGCCAGGCAATTAAATGTTTTTCAGGACATTTTGGTAGCCAAATACCACCCCACCCCCTGTATTCAACTGCAGCTTACAGAGTGCTGACACATTTATCTTTGAGATTCTCCAACAAACTTCAATCTTATGAAAGAGTTTCAACTTTGACTTCTGTGTCTGTCAAGGTAGTGAGATAGGCACATGAAATATGTAATATTTGCCTAACAGTGCTTCTCGTACAGGAAACTGTAGCGCAAGGTTCCAAGTCTTGAAGGCAATTGGAAACTGACACCAATTCTGATAATACATTTCATATATATTATATCTGGCATTACAGAAAACTGTATCAGTGAACACAACATGCTCTATCCTTTGACATATGATAAATCAGTTAGATGTTGTGAAGTGGGACTTATATTTGTGGTTTTCAAGTACTGCTTAAGGGCCTGTAGCTCACCATACCTTCTGTGTACAGCAACACTGTTGTACATTCTGACCAATGCAGTATCTACTGACCGGATTACATAAGATACTACACTACAACAGATCATGCTTGATAAATGAAGAGAAGTTTAACGATGATTACAAAATAGGAAACCTGATGAAACAAATACCGGTACTTATTCATACCAACTCATATACCATGTTTGATGCCAAATTAACCTTTTCTGATATATCAAACTTCAAATCAATATTGCAATGTTCTACAAATTTTAGCCTGACTAGCTATGCTCATTGATTAAAGAGCCCACCACACACCATATAAAAGAGCAAACAACAGTAGCATAAACATGAACATGTGATTTATAACAGATATTCATGATACAGTTGGATTTCGTTACTTTTGATTCTGCTTTTACCACCAATTTGTTATGATTATGGAAATTATGAGTTCTGTCACATATATGTTAAACTGTTTTATTTGTATCTTTTTGATAAACATTTACTCACCAGTAAAATTGGACTCAATTTCATAGGGTATGACACCATAGTCCCACAGTCGGTTGGGCTTCGCCGTTGCTGCTCGGCGAAACCGTTTCCTTGACGACTGCTTGGACTTTTTGGATTTTCTATCCGTGTCATCTTCTTCAAACATAGATTCTCGGTCAATCTTCAAAACTCTGGATGGATTCTTTTTCCTTGCATCTTGTCTCATTTTCTTTGCGATTCCTCTTTGACGCTTCAGTTCGGACCGGAGCTTCCTCCATTTCTCTCGTAACTTTTTTATTTCTTCCTTCATTGTATGTCGATCTTTCCGACATATTTTTTTACTCCTGAAATCATAAATATACACAGTTAGTTTCATCTGCTTTGAATGTCATGGTAGAAAATAAGAAATCGAAACCAATACACATTGCATCCATGTCAGAGTGAGTGAGTGAGTTTAGTTTTACACCACACTCAGCAATATTCCAGCTATATGGCAGCGGTCTGTAAATAATTGAGTCTGGACAAACAATCCAGTGATCAACAGCATGAGCATTGATCTGCCCAACTGGGAAATGACATGTGTCAAGCCAGCGAGCCTGAATAACTGATCCCATTAAGCCTCTTCTTACGAAAGCATGGATTACTGAAGGTTCATTCTAACCCAGACCTTCATGGGTTCCATGTCATTAGAAAAGTGGTGAGTGGTGGTGAGTGTAGGTGTGTGGTGGTGAGTGGTTGTGCCCCACTGTGTTAAGCATGTACTTCACACCACAACCCTGGTTGTAATCCCATATGGATATCATGCTAGAGTGTGTGAGTTTGATAGACCCACTTAGAACAGGTTTTCAGTTATACTACTCAATGTCTGACAAGGATAAACAGATATGACCTTCTGCTGAAATATACACTTGGCATTGTATGAGCATCAGTTTTGTATATCATGGATAGATCAACTATCCCTATCGAAGAGTGAGTGAGGAGTGAGTGAGGTGAAATGGGGTTTAACAGCAAGAATATTTCACTCACATGACGACATGCATGCATGTGTATGTGTGGCTTCTTGTAAGCCCAGATGAATGCTGGTTTTATAGTGCTAGCTTACTGAATACTCCACTCTGACACATTGTTATATAACTGACTCGAACCTACCAGTCCTTCTTGTGGGGACCAACAAGTACCATATTTTAACGTCGTTTGGTATGACACGGTTAGGGACGAACTCACGACCTTCCGTGAGTGAGTGAGTGAGTGGAGTGAATCAAAACCAATATACATTGCATCCATGTCATTAATCAAGTCTGACCAGACAATCCAGTGATCAACAGCATGAGCATGGATCTACGCAGTTGGGAACCGATGACATGTATCAACCAAGTCAGCGAGCTGTTAGTCAGCGCCTTTACGACAAGCATGGGTTACTGAAGATCAATATTCTAACCCGGATTTTCACGGGTCAAGTGAGTGAGTGAGTGTGTGAGTGAGTTAGCGAGTTTAATGCCACTCTTAACAGTATTGCAGCTACATCCCTCTGTTGTGGCATCAGAGACAGCCAGGACATAAATAACCCCAAGTTGGAAGCTCGAAACTCCCTGCCATTATCTGGCAAAGGCGCCAAAGACAATAGCCACTTATTTAAAGTAAGGTTTTGTACATCTCTCCTTTCCTCATCTCCATGTTGATGGCAAGGACATAATCATGTTTACAAACAAAACAGAAGTGAAAAACATGATTCAATGAGCAACACATATGTAAGCTAGACCCTGAAAACTTTGCAAAGCCAACTCATTATACTGTACACTACATGTTGGAACATTTTTTTCCCAGAGCAAAAAGAAATTGTTAAAACTTACAACCAAATGGAATTTTCAAAAGCACGACAGCACATGTCTGCAGAGACAGGTGGTAATAATTAAAGAGTCACTCAGCACTTAACAGGCACTGATTCTATCTGAAAACAATTGGCAGCATGCATGCAATGACATAGTTTCACTGCAGTGTTTCTTGGCGCGCCAACGGCCTCTGCCATTCTGTCTGTCTGAATTTGTCATGCAGGAGTTGGCCTATATAGTGCATTGTGCACTCCAGAACAATATGCTGAGGTTACACCTATAAAAGTCCATGACTCAGCTGTTTGTCAACATATGGGCTCAATGTTATTGTTTTGTTGATATTGGGAAAGTTTATTGTAGAGTCAATTTTATACAGGTTCTGTGATTGATCATTAGCAAACCAAACAGCAAACAGTCTTAGAAAAAACAATAATGATTTTTCACAAAAAGAACCAATTCCAATATTTTACAATTCATAATATTTTCCATATTTGTTATTGTTGTGTGTGACAAGGATGTACCAGTACATAGATACATGTATGAACCTGTGTCAGTGAGAGTGTGATATTTCTCCTGTTTATCAATGCTACAGCAATGTTACAGTAATGTTATCAGAAACACAACAGCAGACACAAGAATAGGCTCCTACGCTTACCATATTCCAAATATTGGCAAGAGACAAACGTTTTAACCAGTACTCTACTGGTAATTATTTGCAGATTCTACTAAAACCAAAGAATTCCGAGAACAAAGGTTGGCCTTGGTTTCAGACAAAAGTCTGTTGCCTTTCATAAATGAAACAAGTTTTCTTCATCAAAATTTCAAAGCTCAACCTCCCAACAGAGATAGTATCACACAGGAGCATTAATCAGTGCATCTTGCCTGTCAAAAAAAGTAATTTGGAAGGAATCAACCCTTGATATGTAGTTCCAGACAGTGTCCTGACAGATCCCTGACAGATCCCTGACAGACCAGACCCCGAGCACAGACCGCCATGTGCTAGCTGCCCTACCCACAAGTCCCCGACACAGGTACAAAGCACCTCCCCACAAGCCCACCGTGGCACCCAGGTTCCTGGTACAAGATAACCTGATACAGATGTTGTACCACCTATCTGGGATGTGTTGACATGGTCGGGTGTTCAATACAGGCTTCTTGATACTATACTATCTGAATTCTAGGGTTCATGTAAGGTGATGATTGCATATGTATGTTTTATCAAAAGTTCAAAGATGATGAGCTTCCATATGGCCCAATCTGTTCCATATGGTTTTTCAGATGAGTTAACTTTGGGATTGGCAGCTTGGAGTTTAAGAATATTTGCCACACATGCTTATTTGAATTATCTTTTTATGCCACATTCTTGCAAACTGATGCGGATAAGTTGATGATGAAGAGGATTTCTGTTGGCAATCTGAAAGTATTTTTTATAGCGATGATAGCCAAATTAAGAAATTTTGAGAATTATGGCAAGATCATAATGAAGTTAAGAAATGTTCAAAAGTTCCTTTACGATTCCAAGATGCCGAAGAACAGGCAAGCTAACCTATCGCTTGTACAGGACCATGTAGATCTGATCAATGAAGTGAAGATCTGTGCCCTTCATGAAGACCTAGACTTAGATGAACCATAAAAGCACTTTAATTTCACACCTACATATGTAACATCAAGTGCCCCTTTCAGAGTATTTATAATTGTCAGATCATACTATATTTAAGACTAGACAGAACCAAGTTCAGTATATTTTGTTGTATAGACATGCTATGGTAGGATAGACCATAAACACACAATCACTTGCTGGAGTACCCAACACATTCCACTGGACCTAAATGGCAAAACTGTGATGAATATATGAAGTATGAATGGACTGCTATATTCTAAAATTATGAAGGCAGGTGGAAGCAAATTTGCCAGAGTTAAATATCTATTTACATATGCCCTGGGACTTGTGAATGTTTCAGATGCTTAAGACAGAACTTGTTTAAGAAGGTGAGTATGATTCATTTAGTACAAGTGCAAATGGTTCAGGTAGGCCCCCCAAACTGCACCTTGTAATTAACTGCATCATATATATAGCTCATTCACCTCATTTTGCCCTAATTTTGATAACTGTTCTTGTACATTCCCTGGGGACTTCATTTACCCCCGGGAACATAATTTCATTCTGCCTGTATGGGTGGTGGAGCTTAAACTGACAGAGCCACTTATAAAACAAATTCTTCCCACATGTGTTCAGTATCACTTGGAAGACTGTCACAGGTAGAGGTTAATATCACCTCTATATTCCACTTTAAGCAGTTACCGAAAGGTCTACAGGTTCCCTTGGAAACCTCCATGTCTGGAGTAGACTAACCCAGAGTATTTACCATTCCCTACACCTGCTGCCATGCTCACAGCACTGATGGTGTTCTAGATTGGTGGAATCAGAGGTGCGGTATAAAAACAATGTTAAGACACTCTTCATTGCTTCACCCATGACGTCAGCAACACTACCTATGGGGGGACTTCAGCCTAACCTGGCTGGAGAGTACTCAGGTCAACCTGCCATACTGTCTCAGAGAACTGCTTGTCAACTCCGCCTGGTACATTATCAAAACCATTGATAGTTAACCTGAACAAAACCAGACGTAATCAAGTTGCCAACAAAATTGTCTCTCACCTCACCTGGTACTTCAATATTGCTTAACACAAACAGACCTATGATTGATGCTCATGCTGTTGATCACTGGATTGTCTGGTCAAGACTCGGTTATTTACAGACCACCGCCATATAGCTGGAATATAGCTGAGTGCAGCGTAAAACTAAACTCACTCATTCAGAAACAGACCTGTGAACCATTCTGCCAGTCAGCAAGATTAAACCGTTATCTGGTTCCCTGTGAACAGTACTACTACCTAATAATCAGTAATGGACTCTCGGAGAAAAACTCTGCGAGTTAAGTCAGACTGGTCCCTTATAAATAACATTGTTTGTCAACTCAGATCTGGTCCAGAGAACTATTTTACTTGTTAACCCAAACCACATCCCCAAATTTGTATATCCATAATTTCTGTTCAAAATATACTGTAAATCATGAAACTAATGCGTCACGAATTTAATGCGATTGCGAGGGTCTAGACTAAAACGAGTCACGAAATTAATGCGAGCTCAGGAATCTGTGTTGATGATAAAATGTGACACCCTGAATCTTTGGTGTTGTTCTTTTTCTTTTCACACTTGTTATTTACCAAATTACCTGAATTGAGCTTGTTAAGCAATGAACGGAAATGAGTTGACGATGTTTCGATTACGCTGCCATGTTTGATCACAAGCTTGCTTGCTACTACTTGTCTTATGACAACATGTATAAACGTAATCCGACTTGAAAGACACAAGTCATCTACCAAGGTACAACAAACACGTGGCTGGAGAATGTCCGGCCTAGCTGATGTCCTTGAGTGACATTAAACAATGACCAGTGATAATTACATGTGGTTTGAGATACCTGTAATGAGGACGTGTATTGGTGTAATGT